TTTAGCATTAAGTTAGAGAGCGAAATAGTTAATTCCGAAGCAAAGGTCTTAAATTTAAGTAGAGCCAACTTTGCTGGTATGAGAGAGGATTTAGCTAAAAAATGCTGGAAAATTAGACTTAAGGATTTGACAGTAGACCAGCAATAGCAGAAATTTAAGGAGATAGTGCAAAATTCCCAGCGAGCACGTATTCCTTTGAGGAATAAGAATGCCACGGGAAAGGTGGCCCAACCGTGGCTAACTAGAGCAGTTAGGGAAAGTATAAAGTTAAAGGAAGAAGCCTATAAAACAGCTAAGATGAGTAGTAAACCCGAGGATTGGGAGAACTTTAGGGATCAACAAAGGAGAACCAAAAAAGTGATTAAGAGGGAGAAAATGGAATATGAGGGCAAACTAGCAAGAACATAAAGACAGACTGCAAGAGTTTTTATAAATATATAAAGAGGAAGAGGCTGTCAAAGGTAAATGTGGGTCCGTTACAGGCAGAGACGGGGGAATTATAGTAGGGGACAAAGACATGGCAGAGTCATTAAACAAGTACTTTGCTACTGTCTTCACCTTAGAAGACACTGAAAACCTACCAAGAATAGAGGGGAACCAAGAAGACAATGTTAGGGAGCAACTTGGGGAATTAATATTAGTAAAGAAATGGTTTTAGGTAAATTGTCAGGTCTTAAAACTGATAAATCCCTGGACCTGATGGCCTACATCCTAGGGTTTTAAAAGAGGTGGCTACTGAGATAGTGGATGGCTTGTCTTTGATCTTCCAAAATTCTCTGGATTCTGGAACGGTTCCCATTGATTGGAAGATTGCAAACGTAACACCACTATTTAAGAAGGGTGGGAGAGAAAAGATGGGGAACTATAGACCAGTTAGTCTGACATCAGTGGTAGGGAAAATTCTTGAGTCCTTAATTAAGGATGTCGTTATGGGATTCCTGGAAGACCATAACAAGATTAGGCAGAGTCAACATGGCTTTACAAAAGGGAAGTCATGCTTAACTAATCTTTTAGAGTTTTTTGAAGATGTATCCAGCAGGTTAGATAGGGGGAACCAGTAGATGTAGTATATTTAGATTTTAAAAAGGCATTTGACAAAGTGCCACACAAAAGGCTATTGCACAAGGTTAAGGCCCACGGGATTAATGGGAACATATTAGCATGGATTGAAGAGTGGCTAACGGGTAGAAAACAGAGAGTAGGGATAAACGGGTCATTCTCGAATTGGCAGGATGTGACTAGTGGAGTGCCACAAGGATCAGTGGTTGGGCCTCAGCTATTTACAATTTACATCAATGATCCAGACGAGGACATTGAATGTAACGTATCTAAATTCGCGACACTAAACTAGGTGGGAGAGTAAGTTCTGAGGATGATGCAAAAAGCTTGCAACGGGATATAGATAGGCTCGGGGAGTGGGCGAGTAGGTGGCAGATGGAATTTAATGTGGGGAAGTGTGAAGTTATTCACCTAGGTAGCAAAAATAGAAAAACAGATTATTTTCTAGAGGGGGAGAGATTAGATAGTGTTAGTGTTCAGAGGGATTTGGGTGTCCTTGTACACCAGTCTCAAAAAGTTAGTTTGCAGGTGCAGCAAGCAACTAAGAAGGCGAACGGCATGTTAGTGTTCATTGCAAAAGGTTTAGAATACAAGAGTAGGGAAGTCCTGCTGCAACTGTATAGGGCCTTGGTGAGTCCGCACCTAGAGTATTGTGTGCAGTTTTGGTCTCCTTATTTAAAAAAGGACATACTTGCCCTCGAGGGGGTGCAGCGTAGATTCACTCGGTTAGTTCCTGGGGTGAGGGGACTGACCTATGAAGATAGGCTGAATAAACTAGGGCTGTATTCTCTACAGTACAGAAGAATTAGGGGAGATCTTATTGAAACATATAAGATTCTTAAAAGGCTCGATAAAGTAGACACTGAGGGACTGTTTCCCCTGGTTTATGGAATTCACTACCCCAGAAGGCTGTAGATGCTCAGTCCTTGAACATTTTTTAAGGCTGAGACTGATAGATTTTTAAAAAATAGAGGGATTAGGGGATTTGGGGATAGAGCAGGTAACGAGAGTTAGGTCTGAAGATCAGCCATGATCTTATCGAATAGTGGGGCAGGCTCGAGGGGTCGAATGGCCTACTCCTACTCCTAATTCTTATGTAATGCTTCATTTGTGTTACACTTTATTGTGTCACTTAATCGATGCAAATGCAGTGCCTTCCAATATTCAGTATTGGTGTCTCTGAAACCAGCAATGTTGAGGATTGTTGTTCAGCGTGGAGTGTGGATCCACTATTGAGCCCTACTGTTATATAATGCAGTTTTGTAACGCTATTGTTCATCTGATGTGAACAGTCTGTACTGCTTCCAAAGCATTTTGATGGGCTCGTGATGGAAACAGGAACAAAACAATGTGTTGGGATATTGGGTTATACTAACCTTTCCTCATTGCATCACATCAATGTGTGTGAGGGTGGGGGGGGAGATGGGGTTTGGGTGAGTGTCTGAAATGTAATGCCTCCATGCAGAGTTTGGGGCATTCACAGAAGATAATGCCAGAGTTATTAATGAGCTCGTGGCATGACCAACTCATTAATAGAATTTTAAAAACTGCCCATTAAAAGTGCATAATTAAACTGAACTCAGCATCAAGTAAGATCTTATCAATAGCATTTTCATAGCACCTTCTCGTGCTGAAATGGCAGTAATTAGTCAGTGCCAAGGTTCTCTGTCTGCAAGATCAAGGTTTGACATTAACCACCGATTGTGGACATCCAGCAACCATGGCAATCTTTATTATTAGAGTGCTCTTTGGAAAGATCAGTCTTTGAAATCCAATTTATGCAGTGGGTCAGAAAAATAGTGTCAGCTGATACCATTCTCAAAGAATGATAACAATCTATGAGAAGTCTCAAAGACATGATAAGGTGCGATATCAAATCCAAGATTATTATTATTCAGTTCTGATATGAGATCATCTGAACCTAGTCCTTCACGTGCACTTCTCTACCTCACCCCTTACGCTGCTAAAACCCTGGTCCACGCCTTTGTCACCTCAAGCCTGGACTATGGGAACTCTCTCCTCACCGGCCTTCCCGGCACCTCCCTCCACAAGCTGCAGGTCATTCAGAACTCTGCAGCTCGTGTACTGTCCCGCACCAGGCTTCGCGACCACATCACTCCCACCCTCGCTCGCCTCCACTGGCTCCCCATCCCCCAGTGGATTGATTTCAAGATCCTCATCCTCACCTATAAGGCCATCCACGGCCTTGCTCCCTCCTACCTCTCCAACCTACTATCCCCCTACCTATCTGCCTGTACCCTCCGTTCCTCCGGCTCCGGTCTGCTCCACGTCCCCCGCCCCAATCGCCCTACCATCGGTGGTCGGGCCTTCAGCCTCTCAGCCCCCAGGCTCTGGAACTCCATCCCCAGTGCCTTCGCCGCTTCCTCCCTCTCCTCCTTCAAGGCCGGTCTCAAAACCTTTCTCTTTGACCGAGCCTTCAGCTCCCCTCTCGACTCTCTTCCCCCTCCTCGCTCCCTCCCTTCCCTCCCCTCACCCTGACCATTTCCCCCCTCCTCGCTCCCTCCCTTCCCTCCCCTCACCCTGACCATTTCCCCCCTACTCCGCTCCCGACCCAACTGTGCAGCGCCTTGGGACGTCCTCCTGACGTGAAAGGCGCTTTATAAATGTAATCTTGTTGTTGTTGTTGTTGTTCTCTTTTCAGGCATTTACTACACTCTGACCTTAAATTAGCCAGGAGAACACCTGAAAATGGGCCTTTTAACAATAGCTTCTATAGCAGGTGATTCCAAAAGTACTTCATGTTTGAAGTACTACCCATCTACCTCAACTTTTCCTTTGATGGAAAGGGATAAATGGACCATTCAAAAAAAGATTTTTATTGCAGTTTGGTTAATTAAAATAACTAATGCTTCTCATTTGATTTGCAGGGAGCAGTGGTGCCAGCTGATGCACTGTAGAACTTGTTTTGTTGGACCAGATTGTAATTTATCGTGCTCCAGTATTAATACGAGCAGTCAACTCAACTACAGTGAATGTGACAGTAACTTTGTATACCTCCCTCGCGGGCTCAGGCCAATTCCAGTGATAATGGCAATCAAAGCATCTTCCCAGTAGAATGTCTCAATATTTATACGGAAAAGGATTTTCAATCAGACAGAAATAGTATTCCAACTTTCCTTCCAGGTGATGATTAGAAATACAAAAGCATTTAATAATATCCTTGCATTTGATATAGCACTTTACCATGTCATTGAAATGTCTCAATGCGCTTCACAGAATGTACACTGTAAGTGAACTGTGTATTTTGTAAATGTGGTAGCAAATTGCGCACAGCGATGTCCCACAAACAGTCGCGTGGGATTGAAATTTAAATAAAAAGGAAGTAATAATACATATAATAGTAATCCTTGCATTTGATATAGTGCTTTTCATGACATCTCAAAGTGCTTCACAGAATATACTGTAAAGTGAATTGACTGTATATTTGTGGGTGAAACCCAACAGCCAATTGTGCACAGCAGTGTCCCACAAACAGTCGTGGATTGAAGTGATCAATTTATCATTGTTTTTTTTCTTGAGGATTATTATCAAGGCATGTGGAGTAAGGAAACTCGCTTGCGAGACGAGTGCTCTAACCACTGAGCTACAGAACTCCCAGTAGAATAACAATGCTTATTTATTACTTAATTGTTTGCTTTGTAACATTGGGTGAGATAATAATAATCCTTGCATTTGATATAGCACCAGAAGAGAATGAACCACAGATTTCATAAAATGAGAAAGAAATGTAGATTTTGAAGTAGTGTAATAATAATCCTGCACTTGGTATAGTGCCTTTCATATCTGAAAGACATCTCAAAGCACTTCACAGGATTTATTGCAATGTTTAATGACTGTGTAGCTGTAGGTTCATCTGCAGAAGTAGCAACAGTCGTGAAGTCCATGAACCATGCAGCCCAAAGAGAAGGATCTGGCCTTTCTTTATGGCACCAAGTAATATTAGTTTATTCTCAACAAATACAATTAAGACTGCCCACAACTGGACTGGGGAATTGAAGGCAATTTTACACCTGAGAATTGGACTGAGACTGCTGAATGTATATTCATTAGCAGTTATAAAGTTATAGAGCCTGCATTCAAGCAGTAAAATATACAGAGTCCTCGCCCGCTCTTAACAACCTAACACAAATCCCCAAACATTCAAAACATAAAATGAAAAACACAAGTTTGTGTAAGTATCTTCCAATAGTTCTATGAAAATTTCTTCATGAAGCAAAGTTTTGCATATGAAATCATCAGGAAAATAACCATCATTAATATTAATGCCACGTGATTCTGCCACAAGCCCCAAGCAGTTGCATCAATTCCTTGACTGTGAAGGTATTGTTCTCCAGTGCATCTATAAGAGACAGAAGTCATAATACTTGGTCATAAAATATAATTATTTGTGGGTGCATAGATGCATTTTTACTATTCTATTACCCTCCTAACATTTTGATTTGATTGACTGTATTGTTTGTCTTTGCATACCCAATGATCATTTCTACCTTTTCATAGGTAATAGTGGAAAAAGTGTGTGTAAAGATCAAAGGGGAAGGAAAGCCTGTGGTACTGATGTTGCTTTAGACTCCCCTCTTATCCACTAGGCTGGTCCAGTAATGTGAACCCACCAGAGGGCTTCCATTTGCTTTTGCTGTGTATGGGGGTGAGGAGGAGGAGTGCTGTGTATGGGGGTGAGGAGGAGGAGTGCTGTGTATGGGGGTGAGGAGTGCTGTGTATGGGGGTGAGGAGTGCTGTGTATGGGGGTGAGGAGTGCTGTGTATGGGGGTGAGGAGTGCTGTGTATGGGGGTGAGGAGTGCTGTGTATGGGGGTGAGGAGGAGGAGTGTTCATCTCATACACTGGAAGATGATCAGAGGCCTGAAATTACACCTAATCTTACTCTGGGAGACAATTCTGCTCAGTTTCTGACAGTGCTTTGCCTCAGAGAGGCAGAATCAGCAATAACAAGTGGTATTTGTAACATTTTTTTGCATGTTCTTCCTGAGGAAAATGATGCAAGATAAAACCTCCCCAAAGCTCCTCAGCTGACAAAGTTAGAGGCAGAGTAAAGTTTGAGGCAATAAACTAAATCTACATGTTCAAACATCACCATAAAACCACACGGTGTAGGCTCATAGAATGCTTTGAACTCGAGCAAACTATACAACAATATAAATTTATATATTGCCTTTAAACACAAGTGGGTGGGGAGGGAAAAGGTGACCAAAGGGTGCAGTCAGAGATAGTTCTTGAGATGGATCTTGAAGGAAGTGAGGAAGGGAGCGAATTGGAGGGCTCTAGGATTGAGATTGAGGGCAGATAGGCGGAAAGCCTATATAAATATACTAGCTGTACCCGTTGCAGTTTTGCTTGCAACCAAAGGATCCAATATGGAATGTAGATTGACACAGAGACAGACACACCGACAGACATTTCATCTTTATCTATAGTCATTTGGGAAGACTCAAGTGGGAGGACTCCTTTTGGGAGGACTCAATGAGAGGACTTGGAGCTTTAAAAATGTAATTTTGTTGTTGTTGCCGCGACTTAGCTTCGTCTGTGTTCTTTATTTTGTTTCCGCCGCTTGGTTACGTGCATGCTCTGTGACGCAGGATGCAAGATGCCACAGAGCCACAGTCACCAGCCACCAGGTGAGTTCAAATCTTGATGTGGGACTTGAACCCACAATCTTCTGCCTCAGAGGCGAGAGTGATACTGCGCCAAATAACACACTAGCTGCATACAATCTGTATATACTATCACTATCTTTGCAGATGTTAATACAGACTGGTGGGATACTCGGATTGTAAGTTATATTAACAACTCTGTATTACCTTATCAAAAATAAGACCAACTTACATAATAAATTCGGGACCCGGGTGACACTTGCTTCCAATAGTATGTAACTGGTGAGAATTGTTACAAAACTTTAGACCAGTAAATTCATTTATCTGCAGAGCCTTTATGAAACAAGGAGGAAGATTATGTTACTGCAGTGGTTTATAGCTGAGTAAGCACTTCTCTTTTCGAATTGTGCCAATGGGAACTTTTAGGACCCAGTTGAGCAGACAGATGATTTCCTCGATTTAACATTTGAACACCAATGCAGTACTGCACCCCCAGCACTCTACTGGATTGCCAGCCAGACTGCGAATTCAAAGTCCCGATGTGAGACTTGAACCCACAATCTACTGACTGAGAGGTGAGAGTACTAATGGAATCAGAAGAGGCAGCAAAGGTCCTACAAAGAGAGCCTGATAGGCCCATGGGCTGATAACTGGCGAATTAAGTTTAGTACACTGAAATACAAGGTACAGTAAAACTCATACAAATTGTAAGTTGTAATAGTTGGGACCATAACATTTAATATGACTTATCTGAAATTCGAGATACAGGCAAACTGTATCAATTGTATAAAATCCGATTTAATTAATAATCTACACTGCACATGCGTAATTTAATGCAGCCGGTAAATGTGCCAGCGGTAATTCGTCACTGCCGCTGGCAGGTTTTCCCACTCTTTCTAGGTATTTCTAGAAAAATGATACCACAGGAAAATTCAAAGGGTTGCAATTTTGATCGGACAGAGATCTCAAATAATAAAATTTCAATCTCTTGCAACGGTTCCAGTTGGGTATCTTACTCTCAGCACAAAAGAAGTCAGAAGTTCAATGAAACAAAGCAAAACCGATGAACATAGAATTAGCAAAGAAACAATTGTCATTAGTCCAATTCTAGTCCAACCAACTTACTGTACTTATTGATTGATTGTACAGCAATGCTCACCATCCACATAGTGAGGGTTCAATCCAGGGTGTTTGCCAGATGTCAAATCACCAACTAGTGACTATCCTCCTGGGGGGAGGGGAGAGGTAAGTGGGGTCTCCTTGAAGCTGAACTGGCCCCAAGATGACATGTTTGGCAATGGAATGTCGGAATCGAGCCAACCCTCTGTGACGCTCTCTAGTCCGATTCCTGAGCCAGACGGGTTTCCAGTATTCCAGGACACTACTGATGACAGCACATCGGCAGGACCTAGAAGGGCAGACCAGTCACTGGGGGCTGGGAATCATTCCACTCAGCTCCTGTTAACTCTGTAAGCCAAAGCCCGAATGAGTAGGGTGGTCCTAGCTGGACAAACAGTGGGAAAGCTGGTCGGACAGTAATATCAATGGCAAATTATGTGGTTTTAGCTGGTTAGACTCCAGCAATACCCAACACACGCTCTGGGGTCCTCAAGCCTGGTCTCTTGCCAACCTGCTACTCATACTTTCTGGAATCAGGTAAACAGGATGTATCCCTCCAGGAGAGAGTGCATTCCATTCCAACAATCTATCTCTGAGATTTCCACGTATAGGTGGGATGCATGGAAATCTCAGTTTGGTTTGGATACTCCTATGCATGGGGATAGGTTTCCACATGTGTCAAGACAAAAAACAAATGCTCATGATTGATCAGCAATACTGAAATGCAGCCACAACCATATTTTGCTGTAATACCTATAATTTTACTGTACTTACTCTGAGACCATATCGAGGGATACTCAAATACTGCAGCCACGACAACCAGGACACGATACTGACCAGGTTCACCAGAAGACCTGAAAGGATCTGGAGAAAATCACAAATAGTTAAAAATTTGCACATAAATGAAGACATTCGCCTGCTTTCACCATCGTTCCTGTTCAACAGTACAATGACTCAGTCAAAAGCATTCTTGCCACTGTCTCACAAGGTTGTGGGTTGGGTTCAAGCTCCATACCTGGCCAGGAGCTCATCATAATTCAGATTAATACTTAAATGCAGTAAAGTGGAGCACCTCATTGTCACTTTCAATGAAATATATGAGCCTGTTCTGGTTAAAGATCTACAATAATAATATTAATCTGTGCATTTGGTATAGTGGTTTTCAAATTAGGGGAACATCCCAAAGAGCTTCATGGGATACATAGTAGTACTGTGTGTTTTGTGGGTGAACGTGGGTCTTGAAGGAGGCAAGGGAGAGGGTGAGGCGGAGGGACTGCGGTATGGAGTTCCAGAGGGTAGGGGCAGAGTGGCAGAAGGCCTGTCCGCCAATGGTGGGGCGGGCGAGGCGGGGGACGTGAAGCGGTTAGGTAGGGGGTTAGGAGGTTGCAGAGGTAGGGAGGAGCAAGGCCATGGAGGGCACTGCAGGTGAGGACCAGGATCTTGAAGTGCATCCTCTGTGTGATGGGAAGACAGTGGAGTTGGGCGAAGATGGGGGTGATAGGATCACGGAGCCTAGTGCACAAGATGACATGGGCTTCAGAGTTCTGGATGATCTGCAGCCTATGGAGGGAGGAGTTGTGGAGGCCAGCAAGCAGTGAGTTTGCATGGTCGAGCCTCGATGTAATGAAAGCGTGTATGAGGGTTTTGGTGGCCTGCAGTGTGAGACAATGGCAGAGACAGGCGATGTTGCGGAGGTGGGGGAAGGCAGAGCGGGTCATGGTGCAGATGTGGGGTAGAAAGGATAGTTGAGAGTCAAACAAGACCCCAAGGTTCCGGACTGGCTTAGCAAGGTTGAGTGTGCAACCATGGATGGTGATGCTGTCAGCACCTGAGGTGAGGAGGCGCTGACGGGGGCCAATCAGGAGAGCCTCAGTCTTGTTGACATTCAATTGAAGAAAGTTAGCTCTCATCCAGGACTTGATGTCTGACAGACATTCTGTCAGTACAGCAGTGGTTGTGGAGTCGAGCTACAGTTGGGTGTCATCGCATACATGTGGAAGTTGACCCCTTGTCTGCCGATGATGTCACCAAGAGGGAGTATATAGATATTGAAGAGGAAGCGACCAAGGACAGAGTCCTGAGGAACGCCACGCGAGATGGTGGAGATGAAGTGGAGGTGGTGTGAGAGGTACGATCTGAACAAGTCAAGGACAGCGCCGTGAAGGTTGAGGAGAAAGGAGAGGTGATGGTTGCGGATATATTGGTCGACGGTGTCGAAGGCAGCAGATAGGTCAAGGAGGATGAGGAGGCAGAGGGAGCCCTGGTCGCAGATGGATAGAATGTCATTTGTCACTTTGACCAGGGCTGTTTCTGTGCTGTGGGGGGCATGGAAAGCTGATTGTAGGGGTTTGTGAAGGGAGTGGCGGGAGAGGAAGGAGCGAAGCTGGGAAGCAACAAATCATTGCATGACCTTGGAGAGGAAAAGGAGGTTGGTGATGGGGCGGTAGTTTGAGAGCAACGATGGGTCCAGGGAGGGCTTTTTTAAGGATAGGAGTGATGATGGCGGTTTTTAAAGGGGTGGAATTAGTACCAGTGGACAGGGAGAGGTTTATGATGTCAGTGAGTAGAGGGGCAAGGAGGTGGAGCCTGGTGGTAAGGAGTGGGGTAGGGATGGGGTTGAGGGAGCAGGTGTAGGTTTCATGCAGGTTATGGTGGTGGTGAGAGAGGAGTGGGAGACAGGTTCAAAGGTGTGGAAGGAGGGCTGGGTAGTGGCTGGGGTGGGAGGGGCAGATGGGGAAGGGGTAGTAGACAGAAGGGCAGAGGCAGCTGAGCGGATCCCCTCAACTTTAGATTCGCTTAAGTCCAGCATTGCCTCGCAGTTGGCATTGGAAGTGAGGATGGGCAGAGGAGCCGGTTGGTGATGGAGAAGAGCCTGGGGTTGTCCTTGGCCTCCAAGATTGTCTTGGAGTAGACTTTACAGTATGAAGAGCTATGGGACTTCTCAACAACGTGATAAGGCTATATCAAATGCAAGGATTAGTATTATTATTAATCTAAGCAGAAACAATTGCACAGCAAGTGACCAAGAAGGTAAATAAATCACTTAATAAAGTGTGACACTTACAACCATGAAGATGAAGCACAAGGTAACCAGGAGGTTAGCAACAGCCACAACATTGTATCCTGTTGAAATAGCCAAGGCCATAGAGGTGGCTGTGGTGGACACCTGTATTAACGTAAGCACTAGGGTGAGGAAGGCACTTACTGTTTGCTTGAGACCTGCAAACGAAAAACAAGCAAGATTGGTTAACCGGATGGGAATCTCTGCTCTGTCCAGCAGTACATCGGGATACCAGCTGATAACACTGCATCAAGATAACAGCTGATAGCAATACATCAGAGTACCAGTTTATGACAAAGCACCATTCTGCATTAACACAGAGTGTTATTTTAATTGATATCATTGGTAATTAGCTGGGCCAATAGAAAAGTGCGGGCGCACCTACAAATCCGCCATAATTGTAATTTCTGGCCCGCGGGCGCTTGCGCTGTTTCCCTGACGTCCCTGTGGGCGGAGCGGCTCTGGACTTGCACGTGTGGGCTTCGCTCGGAGGCCCCGATGTTGTGATTGTCTGTTTGTGGTTGAGTCTGTCTGTGTGTGTCTCTCTGTGTCGGTGAGTGTGTGTCTCTGTGTCGGTGAGTGTGTGTCTCTCTCTGTGTCGGTGAGTGTGTCTCTCTCTGTCGGTGAGTGTGTGTCTCTGTGTGTGTCGGTGAGTGTGTGTCTCTCTCTCTCTGTGTCTGTGAGTGTCTGTCTCCATGTCTGTCCCTACCAATCTGCCCGCTCCCTCCGTTCAGTGGACTCCGGCCTGCTCCATGTCTCCCACCCGACCCTCCCTACCATCGGTGGCCGGGCTTTCAACCTCTTTGCCCCCACACTCTGGAACTCCATCCCACAGCCCTTCCCCTCACTTCCTCCCTTGCCTCCTTCAAGGCTGGTCTCAAGACCCTCCTCTCCAATCGTGCCTTCAGTCGTTCTCCCACCTCTCTGCCTTCCCTCACTCCTACCCCACCCCTACCCTATGGTCAGGTCCTGACCCCTGACTGTCCAGCGACTTGGGACATCCTCCTGACATGAAAGGCGCTCTAGAAATGTAATTTTGTTGTTGTTGTGTATCTCTGTGTCTCTCTCTCTGGATCTCTGTGTCTGTGCGCGGTGCCAGGCCTGAGACGCAGGAGATGGTGAGCTCCTGTAGCCTCGCTGGTGTGGTCCACCCAAAGTAAAATTGGCCACCCAGTTTTTGTCAAGAAGCAATTAATATTTGTTTTGCAACAATAATATGTTATTTCCTTATGTTTAGTTTTTAATCAATAAATTAAAAAAACTAGTAGTACAATGTACCTCAATAGCACCAAGCAAACCCAGCAATTTTCCTGTGGAATTTAGCAAAGCGCTCTGCAATTTTGGGGATAATGTCTGCACTTTTCTATTGGCCCAGGTAATTGGCAATGATGTCAGTCTGGCTCAGTTGGTAGCACTCTCGCCTCTGAGTCAGAAGGTTATTGTTTCATGCCATTGGACTCATACTTTGGGCTGACTCTCCTGTGTGTGTGTGTGTGTGTGAGAGAGAGAGAAGCGCTTTGGGACGTCTAGAAGACGTGAAAAGCGCTATATCAAATGCAAGGATTATTATTATTAGATGGGGGATGTGTGCTGCATTGTCAGACATACCGTCCTTTATATGAAATGTTAAACCAATGTCCCGTCCCCCAGTCAGGTGGATGTTAAAGATTTCAAGACATTACTCAAAAAGAAAACAGAGTTCCTCGTGTACCTTGACTGACAATTCCCCCTGTTAAAATTGGTCACTCACTTCATGAGGATAGTGGGAACATTGGTGTGCGCAAATTGGCTGCCTTGTTTTTGTACAAAACACAGTCATTACACTTTACAATACATCCTGCGAAGAGCTTTGAGATGTCCTCCTGATGTAAAAAGCAATATATTATTATTGGTTATAATAATAGCATAATCATGCTCTTGGTAGCTCGAGATTGAAATTGCTCACCTATCATGAAATAGGTTACAGTTGCAAGCACTGTGGCTGGCAAAGCCCTCATTGGGATTAGATCAACCAGTAACTTTGACAAGAAATAAGCAAATATTCTGTAGTATCCACTGATATATTCATGGCTGTGGGTAAAATAAGAAAGAGGTATAAAAATTACTTTTAGCAAAACTGGCAAAGGAATTACTGTATATCACAACCAAACTTTTCTGCATATAACATGCCCTCCCCCATCCCCCCTATATAATACTTAGTAAAACATACCAAATATATTGCACAATCCCCTGCCCTTTTCTTGGGAGACAAAACACCACAATACTGTATGTAAAGCAAGGAGTTTTTTTGTTTTACTAATATGCGTCAATGATTGACACTATGCCATCTGCAGGTTGCCTGAACAAACTGTGATCACTTCACTAAAATAAAATGACGTGGTGCAACAACAAAGCCAAGACGTTGTGGGTGCTGGTACATTACATTACTGGATTTTATGTCTGATACAGAAATTAGTACATGCTAATCTAATCCATATTTTACCAGTGCAGCAATGTTTCATGAGTAAAAACTATTTACAAGTATCTATTTCTTCAAAGAATATGCTGCTGATAGTGGTAACATATGGAACTCCCTCCCTCTAACACTCTGCCCCACCCCCTCTCGATCTGTCATTAAGTTCCTCCTACCTCTTTTAACATCCTTATGGCCTCCTCCCTCTCCCCCTCGTCCCTGTGAAGCTCTCTGAGATGTTACGCCACATGAAGGCGCTACACAAAGGTAAATTGTTGAGCAAAAACGGATTAGGCTGTCGCGTGATTAATGACAGCGGAAACTATCTTGATTTGAATGATGCAGCTGGTAAATACGATATATGAAAGAAGCTAATGTACAAGTACTACTGTAGTTGCCGTAGAATGATTCTGAACTAACTAGCCCATGTCTTTACTTCTGTAATAGGAAGTCAGTGCTGTGTTGGATCAAAATGTGCTGTAATAATTCTTCGTGCTTATGTTGTGCCTTTTATATAGGGAATACATGCTAAAATGCTTCACAAAGACAGAGTGGGAGCCTGAGTGGGTGTGAGACAGGGGGAACGTGGCCAAAGGTCTAGTTAAATAAAGAGGTTTTTTTTGACAGATCTTGAAAGAAGAGGGAACAAACAGGTTTTCTGTTGGGACTTTTTCACTTGCTGTTATGGCATAGGGGGTTTAGTCTGAGTGGGAGCAAAGACTCCAGACATGCAGATTTTGTTCTATCATTTTTAGTTTAATTGCTACGTACATGCTGCTAGACTGTTCATCTGCTTTTTAATACATGTTAGTACATCCAGCGCCTGGAATCCACCTGGATTGGCTTGCAGAGGTAAGCAGCAGCTGCTTAAACTCCGCACCTCCAACTTATACTCTGCACCTCCAACTTGCGGAACCATCTCTCAACGTGTGCCCGAGCTGCGGACAGGAAGTTGATGGCAGTGCTCTCACGCATTTCACACTAGTTTTTAGATTACTGAGTTCTTGTAACCATGCACTGACTGATTCTGTGTTCTAATTAATGCTGAGAAGCCAGGTAAACACTTCCCAGTCAACAATAACTTATCATCTGTCAGCTGTCATCTCCAGCTGGTGTTGTCTTTACAACACCATTCAAGTAACCAGTATGTTTTAGCGCCAAGAGGGCGAACATCTGCAATCACTAATGAAAAGCTTGGATTTTGAGCCTTTAGTGAATTGTAAAATAAAAAGCCCTTACATGAAAATCTTCTTTTCTATGACGAACAGTTCAATAGCAGATAGACTGCTAAAACACAGGTTGGTGGTCATAAAAAACAACGCCCCGACTCTGTGAAAAGAAAATAAGAATGTTAAAATATTCCACTTTTAAATACTTCATTCCCAATTTAGCATATTTCAATAACTTCCATAAAAGATGGAAAAGAATGAAGGACAGACACACTTCAAGCAATGTAAGCACTGACATTTTTATACTGTAAGCTGTATAAAGGGCTCAAACTCGCACTTATGACCAACTAGTTGACTATACTGTGGGGGTGTAAGCGAGGTCTCCTTGGAGCTGAACTGACAATGGAATGTCAGAAACGAACCAGCCGGTGGTAGTCTCAGTAGTCCGGTTCCTGAGCCGGATGGGTCCGCAGCATTCCAGGGCACTGCTGAATTACAGCCCAGCCAGCCTGGCAGAACTTGGGAGGGGCAGACCAGTCATTGGGATTTTTCCCATTCAGGTCCTGTTAATCCTACAAGCCAAAGCCCTAATGCGTAGGGTGATACTAGAAACAGAAATCTACAACTCACTAGGCCATTTGGCCCATAAAGTCCACACTATCATCCCACTTTATCCTCAAAACCCCTTCAAGCCCCTCTCTTTCAAATGTCCAGCCACCTCCTTCTTGCAAGCTACAATGGAGTCCGCCTTCACCTCCTATTTGGGAGGGCATTCCACATTTCAACCACTCTCTGGGTACAAAATTCCTCCTCCTAAGTTCTCCTTTCACTCCTCTTGTGGCTATCTTATAACTATGGCCCAGTTACTGACTCCCCTCTCAGTGGAAATAACTTCTCTCTATCTGCCCTAACAAAAACCCTCATGATTTCCAGTGACTTCTACCTCCTCTCGAATTGAAAGGTGCTGCACAAATGTAATTTGTTGTTGCTGTTATTTTTTGTATATCTCTAGCTGGACAAGCAGTGGGAAAGTTTGCCAAATAATGCTTTCAATGGCAAGCTATGTGCTTTACAGTGGCGGAGTCCGTCAATGAGCCAGGCAGAGAGGGAGCGGGGGAGATGACCGTAAGCATGATCAAAAAGGAAGGTCTTTGGGCCGGACTTTTACAGGGATGAGAAAGTATGAGAAATTGGCTGACCAAAAAATAGCTGAAAAGCTGTCGGTAGCTCAGTACTGCTGACTAAACTTGGCTGGTAGCTTAGTTGGTAGCATTCTTGCCTGAGTCAGAAGGCTGTGGGTTTAAGGCTTTGAGCTCATAGTCTCGGCTGACACTTCAGTGCAGTATTGGGAAGCCCTGCATTGTCAGAGGTGCTTTCAGATGAGACATTTAAACCAAGGTCCTGTTGAGGTGGACGTAAAAAATCCCATGGCACTCCTTGAAAAGAGGTGGGTGTTTTCCCAGAGTTCTGGCCAGCAATGCTCCATTTTTCTGCTCATCTCTTCCTTGTGACTATCTTGGACTTGCTGTGTGTACTCTGTCCCCTCCACTCCACCATTGGTGGCTGACTTTTCAACCACTATGCCCCATAATGTCTGGAACTTCTTCCTTCTACCTCTCCGTTTTGCCCCCACCCATCTGTCTGTCCTTAAATGTTGTCTAAAAACCTACCTTTGACCCGAGAGTCACAGCCCTTTCCACCTCATCCTTTCCTTGGTGTCTGACCCTATCTTTATAAAGCTCATCAAGCTATTATCTTACAATGAATGAAGGGTGCCATATTAATACACACTGTTATACTGCTTTTATAGGATCATTAGAGGTGACATAGCAGGAAGACTTCCAAATTCTCAGTAAAATGGAATTGAACCATTGGTCCCAGAGGTGAAGGATACTATACTACACCAACTCGTCCATCTATCCATATTTTGTGGGAGAAATGCATTGCTGAGGCCTTTGGTCTTATTGGCAGGCCACGTCATGGCCTCTTGCTCTATCCTGCATAGGTTAGGATGAAGGTGGGGCTCACGGGGTAGCCCTCCAATAGACCAAAGGCCTCTGCGATGCATCTGAGCATGTGTGCCCCAACCTTTGCCAAGTGCCTGTACCAGTCATGGCATAGGGCGGGGGGTCTCTGCGAAGCAAGACTCCATCTTATAGAACAAGCTATCCATAGTAAGTACTTATAAGAATATCTAGAACGTGACTAGTTACATGTTAGCGGAGTAAAAAGTAAAGGGCAATGCCTTATTAACATTTTGCATAGAAAACAGTTGGGATATTGACACTTAAGTGGTAGTGACAAGTTAAGCCAGGATCTTGTTATCAGGAGTTTACAGTGTATCACGTCGAAACATCACAATATCCTTCACAGGGTTTACTGTAAAGTAGTGACAGCGTCAGTTTGTAAGCCAACAAGGCAACCAATTTGTGCTCAGCAACGTCTCACAAACAGCCATGAAATAAATGGGGAGATATGGCCAGGACACCGGGAGAAATTCCCTTCTCTTTTCAATAATACCATCGGATCTTTAACATCCACTTTAACATCTCACCTCGACATGATTGAAAAAAATGGGCCAAATGTTCTTCTGTGCTGTAAATTTCCCCCCAAATTCTGGAAGACACCATCTGTGACAATTGCTCCACCAACATTGTACTAGAATGTCAGCCTAGACTGGGGTGGCCCAACCTTTTGGCTACTGAGGGCCGGATTTGGGAAACGTCTGCGGGCCACGTAAGCAATAAGCACCTCATCATCACCCTCGATGGTTCGATCATCTGCCCTGACAGTGAACCACAAAACCCTGCTCTCACTTCTCTCTCCTTTCCTCTCTGATTCTCTTACTCCCCCTTTCTCTCATACTCTTTCGCTCTCCTCGCTCTCAAACACTCTCTCTTTCCCGCACTCTCTGAATTGCTCTCCCTCCCTGCTCCCATTCACTCCCTCTCTCTTTCTCTCAACCACTCTCTCCCACTCTTTCTCAATTACTCTCTCTCTCCTTTCTCTCTCTCAATCACTCTCTCCCCTCTTTCTGTCACTCACACTCTCCCCCCTCTCTCCCCTTCCCCTCATCCTCTCTCTCACACACACACTCTCCCCCTCTCTCTGAATCACTCTCTCATCCTCCCCCCTCCCCACCCTCTTTCTCTCACACACTCTCACTCTTTCTTTCTCACTCCCTCCCTCTCACTCTCTCTCACACTCATACTAGTCTTTGGGAGGGGAGAGAGATACAGACAGTTTCTCATCATCAGCTGCCCGGAATCCAAAGTGTTTCTTGAGATTTTGTTGTTCATCAGTGATTGAGTGAGAGAGAGGGAATCAGAGAAAAGGGGTTGGTTTCTCAACATCATTTACCAGAATCGAAACTATTACTCCATATGCCCTGGTGTTGATCAGTGGGAGCTAGAGATAGAAAGTGAAAGGAGAGAGGAGAGGAAGGAAAGAAAAACAGAGAAGAGAGTGTATCAAAGCGAGAGGGACACTAAGTGTGAGAGAGAGAGAGAGAGAGAGAGTGTGTGTGTGGATGTCTGAGAGGAGAGGGAGGAAAGAAAAAGAGGGAATGTGAAAGAGAGGGAGAATGTGAGTGAGAGAGAGAGAAATGAGACAAGGGACAGAGACGGTGTGTGTGTGTGTGAGAGAGAGGAGAGCCAGAGAAATGGAGTGAGAGAGAAGGAGGTAGAGAGAGAAGTGAGGGCAGTGTTTCGTGGTTGGTTCACTGTCAGGACAGACAATCGGAGCCTCCCTCGGCCACGGATCGACAAGGACAGAGCCTGAGCGATGTGTCGTGCCCCTGGGAGACAACAATAAATGACATTTATATAGAGCCTTTCACGTCAGGAGGACATCCCAAGAGGAGACTGTGACGCTTCCCTGGTAGAGGAGTGTGTGTGTGAGCCAAGGGTGGGGAGCCTGGCCGGCCTGTCAGGATGGGGTGCTGCGGCAGTAAGAAGGTCGGTGATCATTTGTCTCTGGAGAAGATCCTGGTGTATGAGGCTCCGGAGGTTCCTTCATCCAGAGACATTCTGTTGTACCGGGATGAGGAAGAACCCGAGGAGGAACTGGACTGGCACTTGGATGAGAACCAATTCTTTTCCTACTTCTTCTCTGCGATAGACTATACTCCCCCTTTCCACGGGGTCCTGAGCCGCTGGCAGAGTGAAGTGCAAAATGCCAAGCACGTAGGAGACGTGGACTGGCACCAGGTCTGGAAGTCCAGCGGCTACATCCACACTTTGAAGCAGATGCGGAGCCTGATCGAAGCCAAGCGTTTGACCCAGACCTGGCTGAGGGCACTCGGGGAGTGGTCGGAGCAGGTGGTGAAGCGCAGGCAGATGGAGTACAAGCAGGCGTGGAAGTGGGGCAAAGCCGATGCCGGTCACTTCAAGGTTTTGGAAACTTGGAAAGAGCTGCACAGAGCAGTGCAAGGGGGGTGGTAGGGCAGAGGAGCGATGCGAAACCCCCTCCTCCCTCCCCCAACCCACCCCCAGAGGAGAAGCTGATTGGGTGTGTCAGCCTGGCTCAGTTGGTAGCACTATTGTCTCTGTGTCAGAAGGTTGCGAGTTCAAGCCCCGCATTGGGACTTGGAATCACATAGCCTAAGCTGTGATATACTATACTACACCAACCAGTCCATCTATCCATATTCTTCTTAGAAACGTCAGGGTGAATTTCAATCTAAGCATATCCTACCAAGTCTAATGATGTTTCCAATTGGGACAAAATTGACACTCCTATTTTTCTCTACCAAGTGATGAAATGAGCCCCATCCCGTGCAACTACACTAACCTGTTCTGAATTCCATTCAAATCATTTTTCACTCCAAAAGATAAGGCTCCCACAACCAGACCCATGGAAAGCGAAACCAATATCTAATGGAGAGAGAAAATGCAATTAGTACAATAAAATCTTTCCAAAACAGTATATTTATTGGGAAGAGGAACAAATTAGTGTGAAAATTTTATAACAGGGTGAAGTATATTAAAAAGGGATCACAGAGATTCTGCAATAAAGAAACAGTTTGCCTCAAAGCAGTTTGCCAAATATTTTACCTAAGTTTGCTGAAGGCAATAATGCAAGCTGTCACAATATATCACTAACCAGAGTTAGAAGCTTATTTATTCAAGCAAATGGTATTGGAAGGAAAATACTGTGCAGCTTCTCCCTACAAAATAACCAAGACAGTGAAGTTAAAAACCGAGCTCAGGGGAGAAATTACACCTGGCTATAGATTTACTCCAGAACTTGGAAAAATGTTGAATTCAGTATTAAGTTTGAGATGGATTTTCTGCAATTCTTAAAATAAACTTAAAAAAACTTGAAAATTAAGACTGCATTTAAGAATTTGCCAAATTATGGATGTTCCAAATAGTACTACATAAAAAGAGTAAATCTAAAGGAGGGTGGACTCTCTCCTCCCTCCGTTCAAAATCTGTCTCAAGATGTAACTCTTTGACCTTTGACATCTTTCTCCTCTCGACTCTCTTCAGCAACTGTCCTCCTGGATCAGGTGCCCAGTAGTGTTAAGCGTTTTGGGACATCCTACCAACTCAATGCCATTGTAAATGTAAATTGTATTGTATTTTCTCCTCTCTTGTTAAGAAAGGGATGATGTAAATGGTACCTCATGTCAGAAAATAGCTTCAAGATATAGTCTATCTCCTCCAGGTAATTTCACATACTTTGTGCGGACCTATGAAAACTTGGCTCTGAAGAAATCTCAGATGGAATCAAAGTTCTTGCAGGATGACATGACACAATGGTGTAAGCAATCCCAGAATTCTGGATTGTCTTAACTTGACCAAAGACTTTTGCGAAGACTCATGGACTTTATTTCCTAAAGGCTAACTGTATACATAAATGGATCAAGGCCAAGGACAAACGGAAGAACAAGGATCAAAGGATTTCTTCAACCTGGAAGATAAAATTCTTTTGTCGCATTGCAGCTGATGTCTGGAACGACACATTGAACAGACTGGGGTACGTGACCAACAAGGTATAAAGAACCAGAGATTTAGGGGTTAATCAGAAGAGCTAACTGCAAACAATCTTGAGGAAAGAGGGATATACTGCAATCAACATTGATCACTATACCAAGTTAACAAGCCAATTCATCAATTGAAGCTGTTGTATTGGTCCGATCAACTCATTGAGGTGAACTGTACTAACCAGTCATAAGCATTAATTTGATTATATGAAACATATCACCTTGATATGCATTTATTTACTCATCTTTTATTAACATTTACTAATTGAAGCAAATTGAGAGTTGTGCCAATTTGTACTTCACTGCAGGCTCATAGATTTTAAGTAACCCTACAATGGTAAGATTCACTTTATATCCTGCAGTGTTTTTTCTAGCATGAGGGTCAACATCCTTTTTTAAATTGAGTCATTAATTTGGGTGCCCATTGCCCCGAGACCTCGGTGCCCCGTAACTTGGAGATTTAGATCCCTGGTCTTTGCGATTTAGGTAGATATGAATAGATGTGCTACAGCTACTACACTTAATAGTTATTGCTGTTCAAGCACTTTGAAACGTTTCAGCGTTATAGGTGCTGTATCAAATAGAAGGTTTTTATTATTAAGTGAGGATCAAATCTGCCATTATTCATAACAACCACATAATAAAATCATGACATTGCTCTTATCATTAAATTAGTTACTATAAATGTTTACAAACTAAAGACTACAGAGGTGCATCCTACCTGAGCAACAGAGGTTTGAGGACTCCTCAGCAGATTTTTGAATGATCGTTTGGTCAACCACTTTAGCTGGTGACTGAATGATGTTGAGTACATGATTTGTCTATGAAATGATTCTGATCCTTTTTTTGCTTCCGACAATTGTTTTAATTTGGCCATCATTTCACTGGAATAGGTGGATTTGGAAAACATAATTGCAAGTTTCTCTGCTAGTGTAGTTTCCGTTTTTCCAAAAAGAGCTTCAAAATCCATATCTTTAGTGGAGGGGAAAAAAACCAAAGTATTATTGGTTATTAGCAGATACAACTAAGTTGCATCCAATAGGGTTCACATCAACTAAGCAGCTTCTAGTGCTATAAAATGACCCATTTCCAGGCCAGCAGGTTGTCACAATGCGTGGTAAGTGACATCTATGGCAAGCTGATAACCAGGAAATCAGTAATTTTTACAGCACAGGAAGCTGGCCGGCATTTTGCAGTGAGCAGGTTGACTTTCTGAGTCCATTTTGCGGTAAATAAATACGGAGTCCATATCACAACAACAACAAGATTGCATTTATAGAGCGCTTTTCACGTCGGGAGGATGTCCCAAGGCGCTGTAAAGTTGGGTCAGGACCCGAGCAGGGGGGAAATGGTCAGGTAGAGGGGAGGGAGCGAGGAGGGGGTAGAGAGTCGAGAGGGGAGCTGAAGGCACGGTCAAAGAGAAAGGTCTTGAGACCGGCCTTGAAGGAGGAAAGGGAGGAGGCGGCGAAGGCACTGGGGGATAGAGTTCCAAAGTCTAGGAGCTGAGAGGCGGAAGGCCCGGCCACCGATGGTAGGGCGGTTGGGGCGGGGGATGTGGAGCAGACCGGAGCTAGAGGAACGGAGGGTACGGGCAGGTAGGTAGGGGGATAGTAGGTCAGAGAGGCAGGAGGGAGCAAGGCCGTGAATGGCCTTGTAGGTGAGGATGAGGATCTTGAAATCGATCCTCTGGGGGATGGGGAGCCAGTGGAGGCGAGCGAGGCACAAGCATGTTCTAGGCGAACCCACAGTCTAACAAAACTGCATTATAATGGAGATTCCATTGCTATTTGAAAGAAATTTGGAGTCTTTTTGCTGATTATGGAGGCTTACATTCCCCTACTAATTCAAATTCATTGGCTGCTCATTTCATTGTTTATGGGCGTTGCTGTTGCAATTAGCTGCCGCGTTTGTCTGTTGTTGAGACGTCTCAAAGTGCTTCACAGAATATATTGTAAAGTGGAGTGACTGTTTTTTTTGTTGGCAAAATTCATGCCATTTTTAATTAAATATATTTTATGAAGCACTTTGAGATGTTCATCTTTACATGAAAGGCATTCTAACAAGTAACTCCTGTGAACATCTCAAACACTTCACAGGAATTACTAGTTAAGACAATGGGAGAAACTCCCATCTCTTTTCGAATGTGCCCGTGGACCTTTAGTGTCCACCTGAAAAGACAGACTGGACTTCGGCTTAACATCTCATCCAATGGATCCCCAGTACTGCTTTGGAGTTTTGGCATAGACGATATAAATTCAAACATTTGTCGTGGGACTTGAACCTGCAACCATCTGACTCAGAGGCAAGAGTGCTACCAACTGAACCGGGCTGACACTGCCGTACAATATCTTTATATATATAGGAAACAGTGTTTTATGAGATTTAATAATTAAAAATGCAACTTTATCCATCACTGAGATAGCGTGGCAAAAATCAACTTTTGAGGTCCATAAAATTACAATATGATCAAAAGAATCCTCATTATACTTACTTATATCACTATACGTACCTATGACTCTATACATAGCTATATCATGATACTTATCTATATCACTATACACACCTGTGTCAAAATATTCATTTTGCCTTGCTTCCACTGCAGTTGAATCTCCATTGATGATATCAAGAAAAAAATCTGCAGGGTTGTTATATGGTTCACAATTGTATCCTGTTTAAATGTTATTTTAAAATGCAAGGATTATTCTTCTTATTAATAAAAGATCAGTAAGAGTGAAATGCTAACTGAAGTGAGCCCTAGTAGTAAGTAGTAACCCGGTTCATAGTCGATTGGCGGATTGCTTTTCCGGGGGTAATAATTTCTTAAAAAAAAATAATAAATCACTCAATCCCTAACTGTTTGAGGGGCACTGCTGTGCGCAATTGGCTGCCGTGTTTTGTCCCCCAATTATACAGTCAATTCACTTTACAGTTACAGAAGAGCTTTGAGGCCTCTCGAAGATGTGATAAGGCTCTATATCAAATGCAAGGATTATTATAATATATTATATTAAGTGACACTGCCGAGACACTGCCATGTGAAGAGCACAATATAAACCTTGGGCAAGTTTCCTTACTCCACACAGAGCCTAATAATAATCCCTCCAAAACCAAAAACAATAATAAATTGGTCATTTTCAATCTACGACGGTTTGTGGGACATTGCTGTGCGCAATTGGCTGCCGTGTTCGCCCACAAATATATACAATCAAATCACTTTACAGTGTGTTCTGTGAAGCGCTCTGGGACGTCCTCCCGACGTGAAAAGCCTATATCAAATGCAAGGATTATTATTATTATTATAAATGCAAGTTGTTGTTGATTTTAAAAGCCAGTTTTGGTGCCAACGAAAAGCCCAGACTCTTGTGATTAGTGTACCACAGTGATAGAAGGTCATTGCTTGAGAGTGGAAATCATATCAAATCCGGGAAGCAGATACTGGTGGCCCAAGTGACTAGACAACGCCTCAATGAATAAGTCTACAGTCTACAATGCTCAAAGTGACAGTAAGGAAAGCCATCAATTCATGTCTCAATCATTATTTTATGTAGAGGGGGGGGGCAAGTCTCCTGAACTCAAGTAATTTCTGTGACTGTTGTGAAAGATGTCCAGCTGCCCTGACCACAAATGCAACCAACAAGGACTCATTTGGAGCCTGTGATTTTGGGTTTAATTCAGACGACATGGGAGCTGTCCTGCGTGGGTGGCTGGACAGACATTAGTGTTTTGCTGCATGGGGATTGTCACAGATGGCTGACAACAGTAGGTTTTGTTAGCCAAGATACTGTATTATTTAACACCTCATTTATACAATACATCATAAACATTACTCCGGGCTCCCTTTTCATTGTCATACCAAACCTGCAATATAAACAATCTGGGGAAAAGAACTATGGTACGTGCAGTTTCACTGCAATAAAATTATGTTTCATTGTTGTTTAGTAGTTTAAACTTTACGTAAAGCACATCAACATTTTTGCAGGTCAGATCTAACGTCATCTCTGCCTGAATTGATTTACAGTTCATACTTTGAACAAGAAGTAATGTAATCAGATCTTATTAATACTATTCATTAAAAGCCACTGTCCCTTTTAGGTTTCTGTCTTCGTACTAAGAAAATGGCTCAAACAAAAGGAACAACAACAACTTGTATTTATATAGTGCCCTTTCTGCAGGATAGCGCCACAGAGCGCTGTGCAGTAAGAGGGTTGGAGAAGGAATGGAGAAGGGGGAGGGAGAGGTGTTCACAGGCCCAGTTGAAGAGGGAAGTCTTTAAGTGAGATCTAAAGATAATAATATAATAATCCTTGCATTTGATATAGCGCTTTTCACGTCTTCTAGACGTCCCAAAGCGCTTCACAGAATATACTGTAAAGTGAATTGACTGTATATTTGTGGGCAAACGCGGCAGCCAATTGCGCACAGCAGCGTCCCACAAACAATCATGGATTGAAAATGATCAATTTATTATTGTTTTTTGTTTTTTGGAGGGATTATTATTAGGCGTGTGGAGTAAGGAAACTTGTCCAAGGTTTTGCCCTGTCTGGAATTGAACCCAGGTGTCTCACTTGCAAAGCGAGTGCTCTAACCACTGAGCTACAGGACTCCACAGGCCTTGGATATAGCACCTTATCATGCCGTGGAAACGTCTCAAAGCGTTTAACTGAATATACTGTAAAGTGAATTAACTGTATATTTTGTGGGCGAAACACGGCAGCCAATTGCACAGCAGTTCTCCGCAAACAATCGTTAATTGATTGACTAAATTATTTATTTATTGAAGGGATTATTACCCCCGAAAAACAATCGCCAAATGACGAACAACTGGGTTCCCACTTACTGCTAGGTAAACAGAGGCATGTGGAATAAGGAAACTTGCCCAAGATTTCAGCAATCCAGCCCAGGTCATCTCGTTTGCGAGGCCATTCCTTCACAAAATATACAGTCAATTCACTTTACAGTAAATTCTGTCAAGTTATTTGAGGAGTCTCAACGACATAAGGAGCTTTATCAAATGCAAGGATTATTATTATTATTATTATAGAAAAGGAAGGGGTAGAAAATAGAGCCCTGAGGTGCACCGGACATGATCTTGGAAGGTGGGAAGAGAAACCATTGGAGGAGACAAAGTGGAGGCGGAGGGTCAGCACTCACCAATTGTGGCAAAGTAATCCAGTGCTTTGAAAGCTGGGCCTTGGAAAATCATTCTTCCATTTGCCAGGAGTGTCAAGCTATCAAAGAGCTTAAAGATAGAGTATCTGGGCTGATGGATTGAGAAGATGATCGTTTTACCTTGCTTTGACATCCTAAGAAAAAGAGGGAAATTGATGCATTTTCATTATAATTGTCCATAAGAAAGGTTTCGTCCACAAAATATACAGTCAATTCACTTCACAGTACATTCTGTGAAGCGCTTTGAGACATCTCGAAGATGTGATAAGGCGCGTATCAAATGCAAGGATTATTATTATTAATCAAGTCTTATGTATTCAGGCAATCTTTTTGTCGTGCGAATAACCCCAATTAAGGCATTTGTAAGAGTTACATAAACACCGGAACTGTGCTGAGGCCTGGTAGATAGTAAGCATAACCCAGAACAAAAAATACAAGGAAAGAAATGAGACATGAATGAGCTGGAAACTATAACATAGCTGAAATTCTGAAGCAGGGAAAGTTTTGAGCAAATTGTGCAGGATATGTTTATCTAAAGAGAAAAATCTATCAACAACCAGTCAGCATGGATTCAGAGGCAATATTCCTCGTAAATCTAGCACAATTTGTGGTGTTAATTAAACCAGTGGGTGAGGAGTATCTAATAGTTATAACGTACTTGAAATTTCAAATAAAGTTGGGATCATTTTCAGAAAGATTCCCTCAAACAAAATTTGAATGAAGCTTAAAGCCCATAAAATGAAAGGGAAATTGAAAAATGGCTCAGCAAGAGGAAAATCATAATATGGAAAGGCTTTGTTGACAGGCAGCATCTAACAATGGTGTCTGTTATGGATGCTGGCCACCTCGTTTATAAATGCAACACAACAATACAAATTTACAATTAGATTGTGCTTTTCACATTGGGAGGACACCCCAAAGTGTTTGATATTGCTGGCTGGGCATCTGAGTTTGGGGTGCGAATCAAGGGGGTGGGGAGCGAAAAAATGACAAAAAGTAGGTCAAAATGAGGTATGTTTTAAGATGGATCTTGAACAAGGCGAGCCGTTAAACTGAGATCCAGAGCAATAATTCTCCATATAAAATTGGGAATTCACTTCAGGGTTGTTTGTGGGCTGTTTTTGCATGCAAACTGGTTGCAACATTCAGCAAGATACACAGTCACTGCCCTTTACAGTATATTCTGTGAAGTACTTTTCGATGGCTTCCTGACGTGAAAGCGCTATATCAAATGCACAGATTGTAATGATATGACCATGTGATTGACAAAAGAAATATAGCAGTTAAGAAGATCTGAACCAATTCTGCATCTGTGCTAAGGAATGACTGATGGACTTTAATGTATGTGCACACAATAAAGGTGTAGAGATTAGCAGAGAAGGGAAAACATTTGGGTGATACAATGAAGGATACTGTGGTGTAGACTGCATCTGATCGAGTGATTTTTCATCTAATAAACTACCTTTTCAGTAAGAGCAAGACAGCATGAGCGGTGCTGGCATCCAGTCCAGTGGTCGGTTCATCCAGGAACAAGACAGTGGGATTAATGATCAGTTCCATTCCAATGTTTGTCCTCTTTCTTTCTCCACCAGACACGCCTCGAATCAGTTGAGTGCCAACCTAATTAAATATTAGAAGAGAACAATGAGAAGGATTTCTCTCCTCCCAGGGCATGTTGAACACATTAGAGAGGTGCAGTGCTGATGTTCAGTAATATTACATCAGTAGTATGTACTCAATAGCAGCAGATGAGCACTGTAGTAAGTTCAAATTGTACTCAAGCTCCAGCCTGCTTCACGTCCCCCGCCCCCCCCCTCCCCCCTTTATGATTAGGTCACACACAGAGTTATTTTATATGCAAACAGTTGCCTCCATACCTGCAGAAGCAGCAGATCCCATTCATTTTCTTTAGTGTTGTTCCATTACTGCGGTGATGCTTTTGAAACAGCAGACTACCCACTAGCAGCCCAAATTCCTCTCCCACATAGTGTCCTGCAAACTAATACTATTTGGTTTATATTCTTGCCCAATATTTTCACTCTGGATTCATCCTCATTCAGTAACATTGCCACTTTATCAGCCCAAATCTGTATCCTATTCCTATTTGTATTTAGTCAGCCAGTTCTCCTCCATTTGTATCTACCACCAGACTGACATCGCCAGCCGATTTAGGTAACTGTTGTTTATGTTCTCACTTTGAAATAGTTTATGTACAGTATAAGTATTATTGACCCAAACATGGAGACCTGCATTGCTATCAACAGATGGACAGAGCAGTGCCAGTGGAGAGACAATTGAGTTGGGGAAGGAAAGTTAGGACAGGAAGCAGCAAGGTCTGAGTGGTTGTGGGAGGAGGGTAAATGAGAGGTAGAAACTTATAACCGTAATATTCATCCTTGCGTTTGGTATAGTGGCTTTCACGTCAGGAGGTCTCAAATGCGCTTCATGGGATATACTATAAAATAATAATCCTTGTATTTGATATGCGCCTATCACATTGTTAAGATGTCTCAAAGCGATTCACAGGATATAATGTAAAGTGGATTGGCTGTATAGTTTGTGGGTGAAATCCGGCTGCCAAGTTGCACACAGCAATGTTCCACAAACAACCATGAAGTGAGTGACCAACTTTATTTGTGAATTATTGGCCACGACACCGAGAGTAACTCCCTTTCCTTTTTGAATAGTACCAAGGTATCTTTAACATCCACCTGAACAGGCAGACGGACCTCGGTTTAACATCTCATCCAACAATGCAGCACACCTCCAGCACTGCACTGGAGGGTCAGCCTAGATCAAATAAGTTCCGAAATGTGGAGCTTCGACCCGCAATCCTTTGGACTCGTAGAAGAGAGTGCTACCAACTGAGCCAGGCTGACACGCAATTGGATGAAATGAGAAAGAGGAGTTGAAAATTGAAGTCAGACATGGTGTGGAGTGCTATGTGTTCAAGACAGAGATATGTCAGAGGCTGGTAGCACGAGTGCCTGAGATTGGGAGAAAAGAGTCAGAGGTGGAGGCAAGCTAAAGGGGAGGGGGTTGATCCAATGGCACAGTTATCTCACACAGATTTTGAAATTGTGAAAAATTATTTTGTATTGAGTAAAATGTTATAAAGCCTGAGCAAGGATTAATTACTATCTGTAAGTTTATCAAGGACACTTCCACTCCACTCTGTAGATTGTGTGTAAGGGAGTCAGAGATGCAGATGCAGGGGATAATTTAAGTTTTGATGAATCAGCGCTAGTCTTTTCTCATGTTTGCACAGATGTAATTTGCTTACAAAAATACATTCACTACATTTTACAATGAATCCTGTAAAACGTTTTGAGATATCTTCCCAACATGAAAGGCGCTGTACCAAATGCAAGGATAATTATTTATTATGATACTAGTCACTGCTTTCAGAATTAGATCTGTGCTGCAGTGGTGTTTTTCTCTACAGGAGATACAGCTGGTCTAATCCCAGTTGCTCCTCATACCCTTTATTGAAAATAGCCTCTGGTGGGAGCTTTATTTAATATCATTGGCTGCAATGCCATGCTGTAATTACAGGCAGACGTAGACAAGCTTGCTCCTGTACCTTGGAGTTTGCCACTTCAGTCAGCCCAAGCTCTTTGATGACCTTGTCAATTCTTTTATTCTGTTCTATTCGACCGATATGCCTCGGCAAACGCAAGGCAGCAGAGAACTGGAGATTCTCTCTCACAGTCAGTGTCCCCATCACCACATCATCCTTCGAAATAATAGAATTAATAGCACGAGTCAGAGAGACAGTGATTGCACTAATCATGCAAGAGTAACATTATTGTTGGATCTACAACAAATACACTCAAAGAATCCAGTAGAAAGTTTCAGAGAGGAGGTTATTCTACACTTGTCAATAAAGATATCCACCTTCAGGACTATGCAATTATAACAGTGGGATTCTCTAAAAAAAAATTTTCATTCACATCAAATTTCCTGAGAGGCAAAGAATAACCCCAAAGTGTCCAAATTGGATCGTCTGTCATTACTGTAAAAGTTTGCATTACTGACACAATACAATACAAATTGACATTTATATAGCATCTTTCACGTCGGGAGAACGTCCCAAAGTGCTTAAGTATTGGCTGGATACTGGCTGGGCACCAAAAGTGGGTGAGAAAGGAAAAGATGACCAGGAAAGATGATCGAATGTGCGGTCAGAGACTGGTCTTCAGATGGACCTTGAAAAATGTGAGGGATGGAGTTCCAGAGGGTTGGGGCAGAGAGCTCCCCCACACCCACCGATGGGGATGTGAGGAGGACGGGGGACATGAAGTAGACTATCCCGTTGAGGGAAGGAAGTGGCCACGCCGTAGGGTTTGTGGAGGTCAGAGGTGGGTTGAGGTGACAGGTATTTAAAGGTGAGAACAAGGATGTTGAACACAAGCCACGGGGGGAATCGAGAGCAAATTGAGACAAACAAGAATGCGGGTGATACACTTGCAGATAGGCCTGGTGCAAGAAAGGACTTGGGTTGGAAAGCTTTAATATATATAGCGTGTATTTTGTTTGTAAACATGGCAGCCAATTTGTTCATAGCAATGTCCGACAGACAATCATGAAGTGAATAATTGTTGGTCAGGACACCAGGAAAAACTCCCTCTTCTCCTTTTTTGAATAGTGGCATGGGATCTTTAATGTCCATTTTGATGGTGAATTCTATCACAAACCACTACAAGCCTCTCCAACAGAGCTCAGAGACTTTCTAATGGACGTAAGTGACTAACATGAGTGGCTTTCTGTAACTTGAATTTCTCTCTATATATCTAAACCAGACAAAATGCTTCAAGACAGACAGGTGTTAGGGCTCCTGCAGAGCTGACCTGTAAGATCTCAGCTAGTCCAGTTCCATAAACAAGAGTTCTCACCTGTATAACATATCCAGAGATACATTTGAAGTTTGGAGGCTGGGGAGCACCATCTAACAGCAGCTCCCCTGTCAGACCAGCCTCAGCTTTCCTGGCAGCCAAAATATCTAACAACCTGGAAAGTAACCAAAACAAACAGCAGTTTATATTTGCTGGAGAAAAATCTCTGGAGTGTTCAGTGCAACCTTAAATTATACACCTGAAAGCTGTCAACAGAAAGAAAAAGATTTTCTAAGCCAGGAAAAGGCGAAGTCTCCTGAGGTTGAACTTGCTACGGGGAAGACACAACTGGCAGAGCCTAGCAGATCTGTACTCACAACCTGAAGCAGATTCAAAAGTATTGATTTTTGTATTGAAAGATTTCACATGTTCTCATGTCTGTGAGTCCAGTGTACCAAGATGTGTGCTATGTTGTGTGGCTACTCCTTACCCTTTCATAAGTCTAAAATGTTAAGAGTGAAATAGCTGCAAATCTTTCACTGTGTGTTTTTAACCGTAGATCTCCTGTTACAAACATGCAATAAAAGATTACCGACACACAGCGAATAATGCTCAATGCTCAACTCCAACTAATTCTGTTTTATAACACACAGAATTACTACACTTGCCAGCAATTACCTGTGATATTCTTTCAGATGTTATAACATTATAGGAACAATATCAAAAGCAAAGATTGCTAACAGGATAATATGAACCAGGGTTGGGTACATAAAGTACAATAAGCCACAAACTTCCTAAGTATTTTCCAGGGAAAAAGATCATAAACACTTACGAGGACTTTCCACTGCCTGTAGGACCTAGGATAGCATTCATTCCAGGGCTCATAATGCCACTATAAAACAGGAAGGAAATAGTCCAAACAATGTCTTGTATTACACCAGCAAAATCCATTCACGTTACTTGACAGATCCTACACAATCCTTGTTGCCATACAAAAAGAACAAAGAAAGTAAAGCTAACTCAAGGTGAGTTCAAGTTAAGACAGACAAAGTGCAACGCTTAAGAGATATATTGATAATAAATGGACATTTGAAAAAACAAATGTGGTGTTTCACTTCTTATAACACACATATCTCTTGTGCAACAGTAGGTGTATACAGTATTAATAAATGCTCAGCCAGTGAATAATAATTTTCATTCTATAATTCAATTTAGTAGTCACACTTAATAACAGTAACAAAATTACATTTAAAGAGCGCCTGACAGGTGTATATATACAGTGCTTTTTTGTGAAAATAAAGATACAGACAAAAGAGCACAAGATTATAAACTGAGTTCAACTACTTCATGTTAGTCACTAATTTATGAAACACTCCTTAGTTATTTGAAGATATTTAAAAGATATGTCATATATGTGAGATATACATGTTTAAGAAATGTAAAACTCACTGAATGCAGCTATAAAAGGATTGCAAATATAAGGATTATTGTAATAAGGAGAAACAGCCAGAGACGATATTAGAGAAAATTATAATAATAATCCTTACATTTGGTATAATATCTTTCACTTTGAGAAGCTGTCTCAAAGCACAAAGATCCATGAAATGAACGACCAATTTTATCTGATGGATTGTTGACCAGAACACCAAGAGAAACGCCCTTCTCTTTTCGAACGGAGTCACCGGATCTTTAGCTTTCCAATGGCAGAAGTAAGGATTAATTGACATTTTTTGTAATGTAACATTCTGAGCCAATGTGTCAGATATTTTGGCAGGTTACTGCCTCTCCACTTCACTCAACTTGAAAGACAATTTTATACTGTGGTTGGTTTCTTCGGTTCAAACATGTCCCATTTCTCAATATTTTTATACTTCGGATCACAAGATTAGTTCAGTGAAGAAGGCTTTACGCCCCACCTCCAGAACACCTACCCTACCATTCCCTCAATCACCGGATCAAGTTGTTTCTCAAGTGAGCACCATATCCTGACCTCACCACCTTCCTGATAACCCGTTCTTATCATTAAATACCCTCTGGATAATTAAAAAAAACACTTCCTGGTGTTCGCCCTGAAATTGCCCTTTGCAAATCTAAATCTACGTCCTCTCGATCTCCTGTATTGGTGCATCCTAAAGTATTGTTATGGGTTTCTAAAATCTTTTTACTTTTATTAAATCCTATTTAAATAATAATAATAATGAACCTTGCATTTGATGTAGTGCCTTATCACGTCGTTGAGATGTCTCAAAGCGCTTAACAGAATATATTGTAGATTTTGTGAGTGGAACGCGGCAGACAATTGTGCACAGCAGCGTCCCACAAACCGTTGTGGATTAAGTGACCAAATTATTATTCTAATTTTTTTTAAGCAATTATTACCTCCAGAAAGCGATCTGCCAATCGACCTACAACAGGTTTCCCACCAAATAAAATAATCAACTAGATAAAAGTACTTACTTGATATCAGTTAGAATTTCCTTCATTTTGACCTTATTGAAGTAGGGTGGACCACTTCTGGTTTTCACTCTGTAGTAAATGCTGTAAAAAGTGACTGTACATCCAGCAGGTAGCTCAGACTTGTCTGACTGAGGCACAGCGCCATATTTATCAGCCGTGGCTACAGCATTGGCAGCTTTAGATTTGAACATATCAGCTGGTTATCTGTTCTCTATAAAATAGATAAAAAGTCCGTTCAGACCACATTTCACAGTCTAGTATTTTTTAAGGTAAATTTCAATTTCCTTTTCCACCATAATCCATGATATTGTTATTTCATCTATACAGTACATCATAAAACCGATGATGATAATAATAATAATCCTTGCGTTTGATATAGCGCTGTTCACGTCGGGAGGACGTCCCAAAGCGCTTCACAGAACAAACTGTAAAGTGAATTGACTGTGTATTTGTGGGCGAACGCGGCAGCCAATTGTGCACAGCAATGTCCCACAAACAGTCGTAGATTGAAAATGACCAATTTAATTATTGGTTTGGGTTTTGGAGGGATTATTATTAGGCTCTGTGTGGAGTAAGGAAACTTGCCCAAGGTTTCGCCCTGTGCCTGGAATTGAACTCAGGTCTCTCACTTGCAAAGCGAGTGCTCTAACCACTGAGCTACAGGACTCCGATGTCAGCCAGAGAGAGTGTACAAACATACCAATTCTTATCTATTTTCTTTTTTAAAAAAGTGGTTTCGAAAAAATAAATGATATAGATTGGAATATATATTCAGATTACAGAACGCGTGCAAAATATCAGCATTTTCTTCAACCCTTAGCTCTCCATTAACTCTTTCATCCAGTCCCTGGCCCAGTCCTGTTTTCTGCAACCTTGAATATTAATAATAATGCCTGCGTATTATAGACAATCTCTCTCCTACACCAGTCCCATCCAACTCGGGCTCCATTCTCTTTGCACCACATTGAGGCATTTTCCTACGTGAAAGATGCTGTATAGATGCAAGTTGTAGCTCACATCCAAAATGTATTTATTACATAAAAATAAAGACAGCAGGTCTTGAACATTTTGAATCCCAGTGATTGACAGCACAAATGGGAGTGTGGAAAACTGAACGCCACACCTAAAACGGAAAACCTTGAACAATGTTTTAAAAATCTCAAAACCAAGAGACTTTGTTTCGTGTAATGTCGATCAGTCACTCCAAGATATTAAAATATAACAATAATGAGCCTTGCATTTGGTATAGCGCCTTTCACATTGTCCGAAACAGGATTTACTGTAAAGTGTAGCGACTGTTTTGCAGGTGATGAGTCCCTTTATTGTGTGTATATATTTAAAAAAATATTAATAGTGTTTTAACTTACTAGTTGTCTTGAACCCTCCCACACACAAAAAATAGACAACAGCACCGCCTTATCACACTCACCTGAAGTGAAAACTAAACTGAGTGTCAAAACTAATACGATTTTGACATTTAAATCTGCAGCAACGTGACTCTTCTTCAAAAGCAAACACACTCCCTGGGCAACTGCTGTAAGTGCCCAGCAGCCTGGCCTCTGCCACTCACACACACACTGCCCTGAGTCACTGCCACTCACACCAACCTACACACTCACACACACTGCCCTGAGCCACTGCCACTCACACCAACCTACACACTCACACACACACTGCCCTGAGCCACTGCCACTCACACCAACCTACACACTCACACACACTGCCCTGAGCCACTGCCACTCACACCAACCTACACACTCACACACACACTGCCCTGAGCCACTGCCACTCACACCAACCTACACACTCACACACACACTGCCCTGAGCCACTGCCACTCACAACCTACACACTCACACACACACTGCCCTGAGCCACTGCCAACACTCACTCACTCACTCACTCACTCTGCCCTGAACCTCAGCCACTGCCAACACTCACACTCACTCACACACACACTGAGGCCTCAGCTCACTGCACTGCTCACTACCCCCCTCCTACTGTACCTCCCCCCCTCCCTCCTACTGCACCTCCTCCCCTCCCTCCTACTGCACCTCCCCCCCACCTCCTGCTGCACCGCCCCCCACTGCACCTCCCCCCCCCACTGTACCTCCCCCCTCCTACTGCACCTCCCCCCCCACTGTACCTCCCCCCACTGTACCTCCCCCCCTCCTACTGCACCTCCCCCCCCACTGTACCCCCCCCACCTCCTGCTGCACCTCCCCCCCCCCTCCTGCTGCACCTCCCCCCCCACTGTACCTCCCCCCACTGTACCTCCCCCCTCCTACTGCACCTCCCCCCCCACTGTACCCCCCCCACCTCCTGCTGCACCTCCCCCCCCCCTCCTGCTGCACCTCCCCCCCCCACTGCACCTCCCCCCCCCCACTGTACCTCCCCCCCCCACTGTACCTCCCCCCACTGTACCTCCCCCTCCTACTGCACCTCCCCCCCCACTGTACCCCCCACCTCCTGCTGCACCTCCCCCCCCCTCCTGCTGCACCTCCCCCCCACTGTACCTCCCCCCTCCTACTGCACCTCCCCCCCCACTGTACCCCCCCCCACTGTACCTCCCCCCCTCCTACTGCACCTCCCCCCCCCACTGTACCTCCCCCCACCTCCTGCTGCACCTCCCCCCCACCTCCTGCTGCACCGCCCCCCCCCACTGTACCTCCCCCCCTCCTACTGCACCTCCCCTCCCTCCTACTGCACCTCCCCCCCCCCACTGTACCTCCCCCTCCTACTGCACCGCCCCCCTCCTACTGCACCTCCCCCCCCACTGCACCTCCCCCCCCCCACTGTACCTCCTCCCCTCCTACTGCACCTCCCCTCCCTCCTACTGCACCTCCCCCCCCCACTGTACCTCCCCCCTCCTACTGCACCGCCCCCCTCCTACTGCACCTCCCCCCCCCACTGCACCTCCCCCCCCCACTGTACCTCCTCCCCTCCTACTGCACCTCCCCCCCTCCTACTGCACCTCCCCCCCCCCACTGTACCTCCTCCCCTCCTACTGCACCCCCCCCACTGTACCTCCCCCCTCCTACTGCACCTCCCCCCCCCACTGCACCTCCCCCCCCACTGCACCTCCCCCCACCCACTGCACCTCCCCCCACCTCCTACTGCACCTCCCCCCCCCACTGCACCTCCCCCCCACCTCCTACTGCACCTCCCCCCCCACTGCACCTCCCCCCACCCACTGCACCTCCCCCCCACCTCCTACTGCACCTCCCCCCCCACTGCACCTCCCCCCCCCACTGTACCTCCTCCCCTCCTACTGCACCTCCCTCCCTCCTACTGCACCTCCCCCCCCCACTGTACCTCCCCCCCTCCTACTGCACCGCCCCCCCCTCCTACTGCACCTCCCCCCCCACTGCACCTCCCCCCCCCCACTGTACCTCCTCCCCTCCTACTGCACCTCCCCCCCTCCTACTGCACCTCCCCCCCCCACTGTACCTCCTCCCCTCCTACTGCACCCCCCCCCACTGTACCTCCCCCCTCCTACTGCACCTCCCCCCCCCACTGCACCTCCCCCCCCCACTGCACCTCCCCCACCCACTGCACCTCCCCCCACCTCCTACTGCACCTCCCCCCCTCCTGTCACACACACACAGGATCACACTAAACACCTGTCACACACACACACACACACAGGATCACACTAAACACCTGTCTGACACACACAGAGGATTCACACTAAATAAATACGAGTTGTTGTTGTTGACCAATGTATCTGGAAGATTGTCAGCTATCCTGACATCAGTGTTGTTAAAAGGGTCTTGAATTAGGACACTGGGAGAAACTACCTTTTTCCCAGGAGTGTCATGGAATATTTAATGGCCACCAATAACATTGTTCGAAAAGAGAAGGGCAGAGACTTCACCAAAGAATGGCACCTCCGACAATGTAGCACTGATCCAGTATTACATTGGACTGTCAGCATAGGCGAGAACTGAGGTCCACAATGGGGCTTAAACCCACAACCTTTGCTTCAGAGGCAAGAGTACTGCCATCTGACTGAGATTGACACCTGTTTAAATCTGGCACACCATTCAACGTGCCTTTTACTAAACATGGAATAACTACAATGAGCTGTGGTTTCTACTGCATTTGAACAGCAGTGCTATTGAGAGCTTTGAGGTACGCGGTCTGTGGCTGAAATTTCCTGGTAACTTGCGATCGAACATAACAAGAAGAACAATGATAACAAATTACATTTGTATACCGTCTTTTATATCAGGAGAACGTCCCAAGGCGCTGGACAGTCAGGGATCTGCACCCGAGCTGGTGGTTGGGATTAGAAAGGGTGGAGGTCAGGGAGGGTAAGGGTAGGAGGGTGACCAAAGGCACAGTCGAAATAGAGGATCTTGAGACGGGTCTTGAAGGAGGCAAGGGAGGGGCCGAGGGGGAGGGGAGGGACTGTGGGATGGAGTGTCAGAGGGTGGGGGCAGAGTGGCTGAAAGCCTGCCCACTAATGGTGGGGTGGACAAGGTGGGGGATGTGAAGCAGGCTGGAGCTTACTGAGCGGAGGGAGTGGACAGGCTGGTAGGGGGTTAGGAGGTCCCACAGGTAGGGAAGAATAAGGCCGTGGAGGGCTTTGAAAGTATCTTGAACTGTATCCACTGAGTGATGGGGAGCCAGTGGAACCGGGCGAGGATGGGGATGATGGGGTCGCTGAGACTGGTGTGGGAAAGGACATTGGCTGCAGAGTTCTGGATGATCTGCAGCCTGTGGAGAGAGGAGTACGGGAAACCGACAAGCAGGGAGTTTGCGTAAATTCAATTTAAAGCAACATCTTGATGTGTCAGCCTAGCTCAGTTGATAGCACTCTCACCTCTGAATCGGAAGGCTGTGGGTTTAAACCCCACATCAGGACTTTGAGTGCACGGCAAAGGCTCACACTCCCGTGCAGGGCTGAGGGACTGCTGCATTGTCAGAGGTGGTTTTCTTCAGATGAGACTTTAAAATAAGGTTCCATCTGGCCGTCCAGGCTAATGGGAAACATCTCATTGCACTGTTCAAAAATAAGAACAGAGTTTCTAGTGCTGTCCTGTAGAACAATCCTCCAAATTGGTCATTCACTTCATGACTTGTTTGTGGAGGATTGTTGTGTGTACTCCTGACATGAAGGCGCTATACAAATGTAATTTGTTGTCGTCGGGTAAATTGGCTACCCGTTTCCCTACAAATATGTAATCACTGCACTTTACAGTAAATGTGTGTCAACCTGGCCCAGTGATGGCACTCTTGCCTCTGAGTTAGAAGGTTGTGGGTTCAAGCCCCATGTCAATACTTGGGATCACATTGTCTAAGCTGACACTCCAATGCAGTGCTGAGGGTGTGTTTCATTGTTGTTAAACCGATATCTTGTCTGCCTGTTCACCGGCCTCCAGCCTGCTTCATGTCCCCCGCCTTGCCTGCCCCACCAATGGCGGGCGGGCCTTCAGCCACTCTGCCCCCACCCTCTGGAACTCCATCCTGCAGTCCCTCCGCCTTACCTCTCCCTTGCCTCCTTCAAGACCCATCTCAAGACCCTTTTCTTTGACCTTGCCTTTGGTCTCCCTCCTTCCCCGCCCTGCCCTGCACCCTCCCTGATCCCGACCCCCAGCTCGGGTCCAAAACACTGATTGTCTAGCACCTTGGGTTGTCCTCCTAACATGTATACACATGTAATTTTGTTGTTCCAGTCGTTGGATGTTAAAGATCCCTTGGCACTGATTGAAAAGAGAAGGAAGTTTCTCCCAGTGTCCTGCCTAACAATTCCTCCAAATAAAATTGGTCACCCACTCCATGGCTGATGAGGGAACACTGTTGTGCACAATTGGCTGCCCCATCACACCCACAAAATATTGTCAATCTTCTTTACAGTATATCCTGTGAAGCACTTTGAGACAGCTCAATGATATGATAAGGCTCTATATCAAATCCAAGGATTATTATTATTATTATTAATCCTGTGAAGTGCTTCGAAATATTTGATGGTAATGATAAGGCCTCTATCAAATGCAAAGATTATTATTGTTATTTATTCTTCCTGCCTGAGCTGATTATCTGTATCAAGAGTTTTCTCAGTGTAGAACAAAATCTACAAACAACATTGTAAATTAAAAAATATAAGGGCTTTATTCTGCAATTTAAATTCAACAGCCATGTATAAATCACTTTATACAACAAGTAAATCGATCTATCCACTGAGGTTTACAGATACCATATTATTTCCCCATGGGAACACACAACCATTAGGTCATTGTTTAAAATACTAAACACATAAAATGTGAAATTTTCACAAGAACAGCTGGATATCATTGTTGCTGAATTTAAAATGCACAAAACCTATGTTTTATAAATTTGACGTTAAGGCAAAGAGCTTTGTACTGAATGAAACACTGAAAGTATCTACCGAGGGCTGAGAGGCACTGAAAACTTTATTTGATATGAAAATCTATCACCATGCTTTAGAATATCTAAACCAGAATGAGAGTTCCAAATATTCACGCTGCCTACTCATGGAAATACCTGCAACCACTGCCTCCTCTGGCTCATCATCAGGACTTGGGAGGGGGAAGGGATTCTTCCCATTCAGCTCCGATAAACCGTGCAATCCAAAGCCCTGTCAGGATGGGTGGACAAGTTGACAGTACTCTCAATGGCAAGCTATGCTGGTTAAATTCCAGCAGTACGCCAACATACACTTTGGGGTCCTCAAGCCTTGGCTCTTGCCAACCTGCGCCAAATATTCTCCAGAACTAGTTAAACAGTGGCTGGGATCACACAGGACTTCATGAGTTTAAACCATTGTCAGGTTTGAATCCAGCTGCTTTATATCCCAACCTTTTGGCTCTAGCGCCTAGTGTGCAAAAATCATCCTACATGAAAAGCGAACTGGACACGAAAACTGGGACATTAAAGGGATAGACCACTTGATGCCAGTGCTCAATGCTTCAATGAGGAGACAGAAGCACATGTCAGAAAATAAAGTTACAATCTTTGGATTTGCTCTTACTGTCCCTTCTCCTAAGCCAAGTTATGCCAGAAATTCCTTCATATTTTTTACTGCTGTGCTGAAAATATTGCAACCAGTCTACAGTGGAGTATTAGGTTGACAACACATTCCAATATAATAAAATAAAACACACAATAATATAAGGCAACAATTAAACAGAACAATTAACAATCAAACAGAATCATAAAATTAGACAACATTATCGTTCCAGATTGTCTGGTTACAGTATCTGCATTGATACTATCATGTAAGTGGCATTACTGATTACCTATAGATTATTACAATAACAGGTTCCTCAGTGTTTGTGCTTCTGTTTTCCCTTCTAGTTAACCATCTCATTGTGTCACAGAAAACCACCCCAAACACTCCCTTTTCGGTCATGACACAAGAAAATCCAGTTAAGGGTTTTCCCCACATTCAGTGTTGTACACAATAAATAAATTGTGCTGCGTTCTTTCCTCAGAAGAACGAGAATGAGGAACTTCATTCTGTATGACTGACTGTTTGCGATACATTACACCATTTGGCCGAAAAGGGTTGCAAGGGTCACATTGTCACAGGACATAATTCAGCTACCACAATTAAATGTACTTTTGAAATACTAACAAGAGTTACAAGGTTAGAATGGAGAAAAATGTTTTTAAACATTCTGCTTAATGTATGAGACGGCATTGTATATTAACATTTTACAAAGAATTACTCCACAGGAGTAGCATTTAATAACAATGCCAGTATTTTGGATGTGGGTCAACTTTCCTACAACTTGTTCTACTAGGATCAGATAGAATATTGCCACTTTTCCCTCTCACATGCGCGCACACACACACATTCATACTTCTAAGATTTTTACATTATAAAAATACATGGTCAATTTGTCTAGTAATATACACTGAACTCCACTCCTGTGAAATGCTTTGAGACCTCTCAGCAACGAATGTTATATTGAATGTATACATTGAATACTACTCTTATCAAGCTTGCCATCAGTCCTTCATGAAAAAAGTTTAAAAGTCTTCAATTGGAAGAGAAATATAAACACAGAGGATTTTTTTTGGGTGGGGGGTGGTGGGGGAGGGGGATATTTGAGACAAGGGGAGCTTTGAGACAGCCTTGGGGAGGTTAGATTCATGGAGCTGAGTTTGATGAATGAATCAGTGCAAGTACAGGGCTATATTACAACCTGGCTCAAATAGCTGTTCTCTTGTAGTAACCATTCTGGACAGAGGGGCTTGGCTTCAATGCTACAGCGCGCTACACCACAGTGAATACAGCTGTGAATCCAATGTTACTACAGGAAATATACCTCTTTCACCTTTCATCTATTAATACACTTATTGCTCATGAGCTGTCAAGCATAGGACATCCTTCCCAGGTGGTTGGCAGGAACGTATCCCTTTTGCCCTTTAGCCTCTGCCAGCCACCAATCTTTGTTGCCACTCAGGTCACTGAACTTCAGTATTCTCACTCGCTCCTGCTCCTGAAGGCTGAGTTCATGTTCATTCCGTGCTTGAAAGGAATAAACAGCATAAAAAATCTGGAGAAATAAAATAAATAGTGATATTACAAATAAAATCAAACTGTAGTGGAAAGTTGGTGTAGTCCATTTCCACAGTACCATCTGATATGTTGCCAAGATCGACATTCTTTCATGTATGAGCCTGGACTCGGAACATCCTCCTGATGTGAAAGGCCCTATAGAAATGCAATTTGTTTCTGCTGTTGTTGTTGTTGTTGGACTGTAAGGTCTAAAACTTGCTGTTTATTGATATGCTCTGCACTTGCAATGAGGTCCTGACCTCACCCACTGTATACCTTCCATCAGGAATCACTGGATAGCAATCATTTGCAGAAATGCTTGTTGACTTAATATTAATAATTGCATTTGATATAGCACCTTATCACGTCTTTGGGATGTTTCAAAGCACTTCACAGAACATACTGTAAAGTCAATTGACTGTATATTTTGTGGGCGAAATGCGATGGGTCTATTCCTTCCCTGACCTGGGTCAACTTTAGCACTACAGCTGATAGCATCCAACTCAGCATAAACCCGGGTCACTCTGGGCAACAAGTAGGTTTGTGGTAACAGTTGCCGGCAGCTATAGATTATGGTCTATGTTTTTAGATAAAATATTAGGGATACAATTATAAGTGCCTGGCCTTACTCTTCTCCCACTCCCCTGCGTGCTTATTAGGGAAAAGCTAAAATGATCTGTGATTACTGGGGGTTTTGAAAAAGTGCTCGAAAGGCAAAATTGAAGCGAAAATGACTTCTCATAGCATAAAAAAAGTCTGAGGAAGCAATGTGAGCCTCCTGTAGGTAACCTGATATGCATCACTCTAATTTGAGGGAACTTTTCAACCTCAATGATTAAAGAAGGAAGCAAGCAAACTGCTCTCACCTCATGTTCTCCAAGGTCACTTGAACTGTCGTCACTTCTTTCTTTTGGCACTGGCTCAGGGATGGGTGGGATCCCTTCCTGACAGCCATTCACACTACTGTTACCATTGCTGCCTCTGAAGAGCAGACTCTTTACACTGTTTGTATCACCAGAATGAGGCGACACAAATAGGTTAAAGTCATCGAAATCTCCATTAGGAGTGTAGCGCACTGCTGATGTCACATTCTGTCCACACGCAAGATTGTATGGTCTCAAAAATGAGGAATACACGTAGCCTTGCGTCACTGCAAAGGAACAAAGCATTACAATATGACAACTCATAGATTACCTTTGAATGATACACATACTAAGCAGTTATTTCTTAACCAGGATTGTCTTTATAAATAACTATTTGTATGGATGATCCCAAATACAAACATCCTAGAATTTTTGATTTTTTTCGTTCCCAATCTACTTTCTCGATTTATGCTCCTTATTTATTATTAAGAAAACTGTAAGAAGCCTTGTAATTTGATATAGCCTCATAACACATTGTTGAAATCTCTCAAAGCACTTCACAGGATTTACTGCAAAGTGTAGTGACTGTGTATTTATGGGTGAACACAGCAGCTAATCTGGGCAGAGCAAATGTCCCACAAATATGAAATGAACTCCCTGCTTGTCAGTATTCCCAATTCCTCCCTCCACAAGCTTCCAAGCTCTGTGATCCTACCACCCCCTCCCTCACCCAGTTCGACTTGCTCCCCATCCCCAGAGGATAGAATTCAAAATCTCGACCTCGCTTTCAAAGCCATCCACAGGCTTGCTCTTCCCTACCTCTGTGGTCTGCTAATGCCACATCGACCTGTCCGCTCCCTCCATTTGGCGTACTCTGGCCTGCTCTATGTCTGCCGAACCATCAGCGATCAGACTTCAAGCCTCCCTGCCCCTTTGGAATTCCATCCCTTCATCTCGCCCACGCACTACAAGGCCCATCTCAAGACTTTCCTCTTCGACTGGGTCTTCAGTCACCCTCCTACTCCCACTCTCCCTGCCCTCCTCCCCTCCCCTCCTGATCCCAAACCCCAGCTCGGGTGCAAATCTTTCATTGTCCAGCATCTTAGGACATCCTCCCGACGTGAAGGCACTATACAAATGTAATTTGTTGTTGATTAATTTTATCTGGGGGACTGTTGGTCAGGATGCCGGGAGAGATCAGGATCATGTCCCATTTGATTACTTTTGCAATTCATTAAAAAGCTACTTGGCTTTTATATTCACTTGTGCATTCACGTGGTTCTATTGCCCAATAAGGATACATTGAAAGGCCCACAGTTCACGTGACAGGAGACTGGCACTGCCAATAGTGACAATATATTCTTGTACTTTAGAATGAAATGTCCATTTAGAGGCAGAGTAGCTTGAGAGGGTAAAGAGGTTGAAGATGTTCGAAGATTGTCGAAGAAGAGTTTTGAAAAGCCCCTGAAGTAAAGAAGAGGTTGATGATGTTGGCTTGTATGAGATGTGGAGGATAGTTAGGTAGTAGTTAGGAGCTGGGTTTGTAAAAGCTCAAGGGAACACGGTAAACTTCTGATCTATCATCATTCCAAAGGAAAAGAGCTCAGTGACTCTATATTCTGAGTGACAATGTAGGCATGAGTCCTCTGGGGCCAGATACCAGCACATACTTCCTGTGCAGAGCAAACAGCTGACAGTATGACAAAGTGGCCCTGGCCCCCATAACTGCTAATTTATTTGTCAAAACTTGGTTAAATATAGTACAGTATAAGTTTATAATTAGGCATATTGTCTATAAAAAACTTGGCAAATTTCTCTTTAGAAGCAAAAACATTTACAAACATAAAGTCACTAGGAAAGAGGTCAAATCTGAAGACGTTAAGGCCTAATGTTTAACAAGTGGGCCGGGCTCAGCACAGTGAAGGCTGGTAAAAGTGAATTGAATGTTGAAAGCACTCACTTCCTGTGTCAACAAGCCATCTGCTGGTGCTCCCCATTGGGTCCTGCTGCTCAAGGATGGCCACAATCTCACCTTCGTAAAGACACACATCTTGCTCTTGTGCAGCATTGAACTTCCTCTTTGCTTGAAATAGTTTCTCAGGGCTGTGCTCGGACAATAACTTTGACCTGTGATCTTCTGTCTGATGGGGGGCATCAGGCTTGAGAGACAACAGAAGCATAGCCTTAAGTACCAATAGGTGTCTCCCTCAACAACATTATCGGATGACTCATTGCTCGATATTATATTTATAGTACAGTCAAAGCTACAAACGTTCAGATGACAGAAACTAAACCCATGGGACAATGCAAGGCACATGCTTCCTAGATTTTAGATTTATCCTACCAACCCGGCCTGGCCGCTCCCTTTGCTCAGCAAACACTGGTTGCTGCATGTCCCAGTAAAGGGGCAGTATAAACGTAAAGCACATTGTATTGTATTACTTGCAATTAGATGTTTATTAAGACACTCAACCACCTTCTCCACAAAACTTCCAAGAATCGGAAAATCTCCAGTACAGAACAATTTAGAAAGCACACTTAAAATAAATATTTACTTAAAAACAACCTTACTCCCACCAATGCAATTCAAAAGACAATGAGGTTTAAAATGCAGCACCATCACTGCTGTTTCTCAGAATGTCGTCAAGCAAAATGGCGACTACAGTACCACCTTTGCCAGTGTTTGAGATTGCGATTTCTTAAGCAAATTTTCAGCAAATTGTATAATTTTAGGTGAAAAACAGGGTTGCAATTATTCTTATTAATATAAAATATAATACTAATTAATATTAATATCCTTGCATTTAATATGGCGCCTTTCTCGTCTCAAAGCGTTTCACAGGATTTTGTTATTTGTAGGCAAGGCTGCGGTTCAGTTCAGTGACTGGGAATCTTTTGAACATCCCATTTTAAACCCCTTTTTGTACAATTGAAAAGTTTATCATAGTTTCAGGATCTAGAAGCCTGAAACCTCCTCATGTTCTTTGATCATTTTGCAATTTCAGCATTTGAAAAATCATTAAATTGTTCAATTGGAAGTAGGTTTTCTACAGTTCCGAAAACTATGAGGAATTTCAGACCTTTTACTTACAATAGAAGTCGACAATCTTTTCTTCAACCGTTCATCTGAGCTGAGCCTCCGTTCAACCAACCTCTGAGTTCCAGTACTGAACTCCTTAACAAACCACAAATGGTGAATTTCTTCAAAGACTTGACTCTGTCTGTTCCCAATGCTCATTGAAAGAGAAGCCTAAAGTAGAAAATGTGAAACCTGTAGCGTCACAAAAGATGCTCTTTAAAGTATAAGTACTTCATTTAATTTTCTTAGTACTCTGGAGTGGAACAAGGGTATTGGAAATTGGATTGGGGAGGTTTCACTCAAGAATAGGTCATAAACTACCCACATGGACATTAATAGTCAAGTTTTATGACTACTGAGCCCTGAGTCATGGATGGCTGCGACCTGTGGGAACGCCGCTCTGACGGGCCAGGAAGGAAATGGCGTTGAAGCAAAGTGCCCATGAGTTGACGTGACACACACATATCTGTGGGCAGGATTCAATACTTAGGAATTCTGCACTAATCCTGGTTACAAATCCTGCACCGTTTGCCCCAATATGAATGATTTCACTACTTCTATAATGGCTATTTGTATTGAGACCACAACCTACCGGTAGATGTTTGACTGCTGGAGAGGCCAGTAAAGCTGAAGTCATATGATCCCTGAATGCAGCCGTAAAACAATAAATACAGTTATTTAAGACTGTCCTGGCTGCCTTATTAAACTTCTGCAGCTCCTCCACTAGCTGCGCGTTTAGTGCTTCATAGTCTTTTTTAGCCAGATTCAGTTCTTCTGCAGCTTTTCTCTCCTTCACACTTTCAGAGCGCTCGAGGCGGCTGATATAGTCAAGCATCTTGTCGTAACGCTTTTGTATTAGTTTCTGAGGACCGCTAAACAGAGTCTGTAGAGCAGCGAGCGGCATCACAACTTGTCTTTCCAAATTGTCTTTCTAGGATAAAAATAAATAAACACACAATGAGAAAGCAGACTTGAAAGAAGGTAAATTATTTTTATCTCTCCTTTGACTGAATTTGCCGGGTGATGGTATGCTTGAAAATGGAATACTGCGTATCCACCTGGCTCAGGAACTGGACCTCCAAGACAGCCTCAGAGGTTGGGCTGGGCTCGATTCTGATATTCCGTTGCTAAACATGTCATCTTGGAGCAGGTTCAGCTCCAAGGAAACCCCACTTACCTCCCCCCACCAAGGAGGATAGTCACTAGTTGGTCATTTGACAGCCACCAAGTGCGGGTTTGAGTGCTCACTAGGTGGATGGTAAGAACTCCCTGTGAACTTTCTGATGCTTTAGTTTGCTGAATTATAATAATAATAATCCTTGCATTTGATATAGCACATTTTATGTCAAAAGGACATCTCAAAGCGCTTCACAGTAAAGTATATGACCATGTGTTTTGCAGATGAATGTGGTAGCCATTCTACATACAGCAATGTACCATAAATAGCTATGAAGTGACTGAACAATTACTAACCAGTACACTGAGAGAATTTTCTTTCCTTTTACCAAATAGTACCATGGGATCTTCAATCTCCACCTGAACAAGCAGACAAAACCTCACTTTAATGCCTCACATGAAGGACATCACGTCTTGACAATGCAGTATACCCCAAGAATACATTGAAAGGTCAGCCTAGTTTGTCACCACTGGTAGCAGTCTTGCCTCTGAATCAGAGAGTTGCGGGCTCAAGCCCCACAACAGAATTCATGATCATTGCTGATGTTCTGGTGCAGTATTAGGTGAGCTGCATTGTCGGAGATGGTGTGCTTCAGGTGACACAGGGAATTCATCCATTGTTTTGGCCATTTTTCACCAAAATTGGTGAATTGATCACTGTTTTTGAGAGATTTGTGGCACAGATTAGTTGTGCCCTCTGTCAGTTTAACAACTCATTACACTTCAAATAGCTCATTACATGAAGTCTTATTAATTAATCTTGTTGTGGGCTCAATCATTGAGCTCACAGTCGAGGCATGTGCCAGCCAAACTAAGGCCTGAGAAGAGCTTCAGCCACCCCAAACATTCGCACCAGACTAGGTAAATCCATGTTCGATCAGTAGTGTGTTTCCAGGTTTTTCTTAATTGAATATTTCTTGATTTATGACATAAATCAAAAGATATTCAATCAAGCAAATATATTTTGTTGGCTGAACAAAAAGATAGGCCACCAGAGGTCTAGGCTAACACTCCAGCGCAATGCTGGAGGTGCACTGCATTGATGGTGGTGCCATCCTTTGGATGAGACGTTAAACCGCAATCCCGTCTGCCTGTTCAGATGGACGTAAAAGATCCTATCGAATTACTCGCAGAGAGTAGGGAGATTCCTCTGGTGTCCTGTCCAACAATACTTCAAACACAATTGGTCATTCACTTCATGGCTGTTTGAGGGGCACTGCTGTGTGGAAACTGGTTACCCAGGTAATACAAGGGTTGTGGGGATCACGATAGCAGATACTTACAAAATGTTCAAATGAACTCTGAGAGTTTTTCAGCTCCTGAAGATAAGTGCCATTGACGTGATTGGAATCTCGTAAAATCTTCTGAAGATCATGGACATTCTGAACAGCTAGTAATATACCTTCCTGAGCAAAAAAATACAATTGATCAAGCTACAAATTATCCCTTTGAGTGAAGGTCACTAACCAGGTCAACACCAATGTGTGAGATGGAGAAATTTGAATGACTTATCCTCCAAATTACTGCTTCTCTGATGTTGTGGAGTTGAATCGTGTGAGCAGTTCCCTCCGTCTCCACAGAGAAAGTGAAAATGATTGGGAATAGTGTGAAAGTTGACAGCGATGTTCCAAAATTATTACGTCAACTCATTGGTGGAAAACTTTGGAAGTTTATTTTCCCAGGTGATGCTACCAGGACACTGGCCTCCACTCTTTCCAGTCTCTGCTCTCAATGAGAAAGATTGAAGAGAAAGAGAGAGAGACACACAGAGACAGAGAGTGACAGATACAAAGACCCTGAGACACAAGGCCAGAACAAACCCACAGCGGATGACATAGGCATAGAGAGCGGGACAGATTCAGGGCTTGAGAAAGAGCAAGGCAGGAAGACTTGCAGAGACAGTTGGAAGTCAAAAGACTTATTACCAAACAAAATATAGTTCATGTGACTACGGACAGCTTCCTCCTAAAAAGTTTTATTCCCAGGTAAGCTCTCCTCTCTATTGTCCAACCTCGGATGAGCCACTTTACGAGTATTCCCATAACAGTTGAAAAAGTACTCGAATGGCCATAACCACCAGAAAAACACTCCTGACATAAGTATTTTCTCTAGAGTGACTCCTTTACACTCTGCTCCATTTTACGATATTAGTTGCCTCCTGAGGTAGACTTGCTGCTCAAGGTAAACTCGCTGTGTAAAAGAGATATAAGATGGGGTTTCGGGGTTGTTGTGGATGCCTTTTCAACGGGTTCTGATATTTGAGATTTTTAAATCCCAACATGTATATCACAGAAATGTTCACTGGTGTAAAATTTGTTCATTTCACACCTATATGTAAGTAAAATGGGCTGTCTGATTATGCAACGACATGCATACAATTATACAAAGCATTTTATTGTTTAATTTGGATAAAAACAAACATTCACCTGAATGTTTTGAAGATAGCAGGATGTGTTCTTTGCACAAAGTCTCACAGCCTTTTCTAAGTTTCGAAACATTTTTTCTTCTCTATCAAAAATCTCATCTTTGACCTGAAACAAAGTACAGTAATAACAAACTCACTTTTTATGCAAATGCACGCATTCAAAACAGTGCCATCACTTTCCACCAGCTTCAGCATGGATTATCTCTCCAAATAAGTTCTGTATCTCAATTTTATTCTACAATCCTTTAATAACGGTAATTTTTCTATTTAATATAGTGCCTTACCATGGCAAAACATCTCAAAGTGATTCACAGTAATTACTATTAAGTGTAGAGACTGTATTTGTGAGCAAATGCAATAATCAGTTTGGCACACATCAAAGTCCCATGAACAATGCCACCCATATCAAACTCCACACCCCCATCAACCAAATCCCTGCCAGGCTCCATTGGCTCTCCATTGCAGAACAGATCGATTTCAAGATCCTCACACTCACAAGTCATTTCATGCTTGAACAGCTCTCTCAACCACTCACACCTCAATCCTTTATTAACCCTCTTCATTTGGCTGGCTTGGGCCTTTTACACAGCTCCGACCCTCCACTCCACCATCAGCAGCCCTGATAAGCTGCCCAATGCTGCATTAAAATGTCAACCTGGAGTGTCAACCTGGACTTTGAGCTCCAAGTCCCCAGTATGAAACTTGAAACCGCAATTTTCTGACCCTGAGTCACAACTGCTACCAACAGAGCCAGGCTTGAGAGCTTTGTACTGTAAGTAATTTGAGCAGGGCATGGATTCTTAAAGCCGTTTTCCCTTTCCACCTTTTCGAACTATCCTCTCCTCCCAGTTATTTAAATAAGTCAGAGGATCGCTCCTAGAATTTACTGCCCTCTCAAGTAACGCAGTGTGAGGAAGGGTTTGAGGTCTTTTGATATCAGAAAGCACAGTATCCAATGAAAGGCTTTTCATTTAATGTCACACAACTGAGAGCCATTCAAGCTTTTTTTTTCCAAATCAACAAAATAAAAACATGGGTATTTTTCAGGGATGCTTTTTACTAAAAAAAAGGAAAGAAAAAAATTGCGGGTAGGGGGAGGAAAAATTGATGCAAAAAACGCAGGCAGATTTGGTAAAAACATTAAAAATCTGTCATTGCTTGTGCTGCATTTGACTGCAGGCCGTCATACAAAACAACACAATTTACATAAGATCGTGCCTTTCATTTAGGGAGGATGCCCTAAGGTGCCAAACAATAAAGACTTGGCACCCGAACAAGGGGTGGGAGCTGAGATGGGTGGGTATGGTGGGTTGGGTCACCATTGTTCAGCAATGCGTAAAGAGTGAGTGCAAAGCTACAATTAAATAAAATACAAAGAGTAAAATACCCATTCAAAATAACTGTACATACCTGATGCTCCCCTCCAGTCAGGATCTTGAGATGACTTGTGACTCGGTTGGATTTTTTCACGATAGAGCGGATGTTCAGCTTAGACAGCCTGTGTCTTAGTGACTCGTCTTCATCACAATTCTTGTACTTCATCACTAAAGAATGTGCGAAGAACAAATCGTCAATTGTACAAAGAGAATTTTTCATTGGGTTTGTGGTTTGGTAGCTTTGCACCAGTGGTGGAGCTTCTGCTGTCCTGCAGAGGGAGATGCAGTCTTATGGCTAACTAAAACAACATCTACCAGGCTCAGGTTTCATCTCACATCAACAAAAACAACAAAAAAATTACATTTGCAGAGCACCTTTCACATCAGGAGGATGTCCCAAGGCGCTGGAGAGTCAGGGGTCAGGGCCCAAGCATGGGGGAGGAGTGGGGTAAGGGTGAGGGAAGGCAGAGAGGTGGGAGGGCAGCTGAAGGCACGATCGAAGAGGAGGGTCTTGAGATCGGCCTTGAAGGAGGCAAGTGAGGAAACAAGGTGAAGGGACTGTGGGATGGAGTTCCAAAGTGTGGGGGCAGAGAGGCTGAGCCTGGTCACCGATGGTACAGTGGTCACATCAAGGTAGGAGACATGGAGCAGGCTGGAGCCTGCTGAACGGAGGGAACGGGCAGGTTGTAGGGAGTCAGCAGGTCAGAGAGATAGGATGCGCCAAGGCCATGGATGGCCTTGAAAGTGAGGGACGAGGATCTCGAATTTGATCCTCTGAAGGATGGGGAGCCAGGCGAGGGTGGGAGTGATGGGGTCACAGAGCCTGGTGCGCGAGAGTAGATGAGCTGCAGAGTTTTGGATGATCTGCAGCTTGTGAAGGGAAGAGTTGGGAAGGCCGATGAGGAGAGAGTTTCCATAATCAAGCCTTGATGTGACCAGTGCGTGCGTGGGTTTCAGCAGCCTGAGGAGTGAGGCAGTGGCACTCTGGTGATGGTGCGGAGGTGGTGGTAGGCAGTGTTGGTCGTGGCGCGGATGTGGGGGAGAAAGGACAGTTCAGGGTCAAACAAGACACCCAGGTTCCTGACTGGCTTAGTGAGGTTGAGTGTGCAACCGTGGATGCTGATGCTGCCAGCGCCCGAGGTGCGGAGGCGCTGGCGCGAGCCAATCAGGAGGGCCTCAGTCTTGCTGACGTTCAATTGGAGAAAGTTGTCCCTCATCCAGTACTTTATGCAGTCGGTCAGGACGACAGTAGTTCTGGAGTTGAGGGTAGAGGCAGAGAGGTAAGAGTTGGGTGTCATCCGTCTACATGTGGAAATTTATCCCATGTCTGCGGATGACGTCACCAAGGGGGAGCATGTAGAAGGTGAAGAGGAGGGGACCAAGGACAGAGCCCTGAGGAACACCGCACAAGACGGTGCAGGGGCTGGAGGAGAAGCCGTTTGCAGAGATGAAGTGGAGGAGGTGTGAAACGTAGGACCTGAACCAGTCAAGGACAGAACACTGAAGATCACAATCAGTCCTTTGATTTCATCCTCCCTACTGTCCCCCTGTCAAGCTGTTATTTAAATGAGTCCAGTGTCCTGATAGAGACATTTCTGGTAACCTGTTCCAGTTGTTAATTACCCTCTGGGTAAGGAAAAACTTCTTGCCTGAAATTGCCCTTTGCAACTCTAAACCTGTCCTCTTGTTCTATTGTCTTGGTGTATCCTAAATTATTGTTCATTTTTTCCTCAGTGTAATTTTTCAAACTTGTTTATGATCTCATCCAAACCAGTGCCTGACTTTCACTAAGAGTTCCATCTCAGATAGAGACACACCTACTGGCATCTTACAACCCTGCGAACACATCTCAAACTGGGATAGGAAAGACATTAAGGCGTGGGAGGGTGGTACGGTGAAGATCAACAGGATTTTGCCTGGAATGAGGAACTGCAGTTATAGGGAATGACTTGATGAACTGGGGCTTTTATCTTTGGAGCTCAGAAGACTGAGGGGGATATGGTGGAGGCATATAAGATGATGGAAGGCTAAGATAAGGTGTACAGGTAAAGATTATTTCTGGGTCAGGGAGGGCATAGTCCCAGACATGTGTCAGACACCTGGCTGACCACAAAAATAAACTTACCCAGGTCTTTTCTCCTTTTCAGTTCATTAATGTTCATGTTGATTTCTTTTACTGCTGCCAGTGCTTCCTTAACAGGTTTATAATCTGCGTGCAGATCCGGGGTGGAATTCAGCAGCTCACTCAGAAGCAGCGGGTATTTCATGACTCGCTGCACTGGTTTAATGAGGATTGAGCCCATGTCTAATAAAGTGCTGCTCCTTCTGGAAACAGGAAGAGGATAGGATCCGGAAATAAACCATTACACACAGAGACCAAAAAACATTTACGATTCAAAAATAAAATTAGAGCAGAATATTGATAACATCGGAGCAATTTGTTCAACACATATTCAATACTAATACACTTATGAGGAACATATCTCAAATATCATAAACCAATTCTCCATTCCCAGCAGGATCCAGAATAAGATTTAATACTGATGTACATAATATCCAGCCTGAGGTGCATTTTATACTGCTGTACACAGCATTCAGCAAATGTACAATAATACTTCCAGCGGCTTATCCCATCATTGAGATGTCTCAAAGCGCTTCACAGGATTTTACTGTAAAGTATAGTGTCTGTATATTTGTAAGGGAACACGGCAGTCAATTTGGGCGCAGCAATATCCCACAAACAGCCATGGAATGAATGATCAATTTTATTTAGGGGATTGTTGGCCAGAACACTGAGAGAAACTCCCTTCTCGTTTGAATTGTGCCATGGGATCTTTAATTTCCACCTGAACAGGCAGACAGCATCTTCGTTAAACGTCTCATTCAAAGGACGGCACCTCTGACAATGCTGTACACCCCCAGCACTGAACTGGAGTGTCAGCACAGGCTGTGAGTTCAAAGTTCTGATTTGGGGCTTGAGCCCATAACCCCTAATTCAGAGGTGAAAGTGCTACCAACTAAGACAGGCTGATACTGCAATTTAAATCAGAAACCTAAACAACTACAACACTTTTTTCTATTGCAAGACATCGGTTTAATTTGCAGAACATGCAAAGTATAGCACAAAGAAAGAAAGAGTTTTAAAACCCATTTGAAAAAAATGGCCACGTTAGCAGGTAAGGTTGTGCAAGAGCAGATGTTGCAGCCCCAGAAGTTGCCAATTGAGATGAAAGATCTTTTGCCATGACTGAAAGAACACCTGGAGAACAACTGCATATACCCCTCAGTTTAAGCACATTAAGCAGAGATAAACCTGGAAAACATAAAGTATCACATTCTGTTAACTAGCTGCAAAACTAGTCAAAAGAATTTGCATTTGTATCACATCAGAGCATATCAAAGCCATCAAAATAGTTACTGCGAAATGTAGTGACTCTTTGTTGGCTAGTACAGCATCCGTTTACACCAGCAAAGTTCCACAAACAACCAAGAGTTGAATGAACAATTAATCTGGAGGATTGGCGACCAGGACACAGGGATAAAAGTGAGAATAGTGCCACTGAATCTTTAATGTTCACCAAAAGGAAGACAGGACCTCAGTTTAATATCTCACCCAAATGACGCAAATGATCCGATATTTTAACATAAAGTGTTGGGGAAAATCCCCACCAGGCCCAAGGAATCCCCAGCAGTAATTTCAAAATTCCCCACCAGTAAGTTGCCCTTTGATACTACTACTAATAATAAAGGTAATGGCAATTTATTTGGCAGTTGCCAAGCAGTCACAGTTTAGGCAGTGGCGGTGTTGTATCTGTAGCAAGTCCTCATCAACCACATGAAGCATTGCTTCATCTGTAGAAATCTGTTTTTAATGTCTCTGGATATGGGATAAAAGTGCCCTTTTGATTTCAGTCCCCACAAGTCAAAATTCCTGGGTCTCATGGTCAACAGTCACCCTTTGGTATTTCCAACAAATGGCCATTCGTTCAGTCTGAGCCTTGACAGTTCCTATTAGTGGTCTATTCAGCCACGGGGATTGTCTTCAAGCGCTCTGAGAAGCTACTCTTTGTGGAGGGCGCTATATAAGTGAAAGTTGTTGGTTGTTGTCTTGCTGAGCAATATCCTGCCTGTGTCAGAGACCTGGCTTTGCTGTGCAGTGAGTCCTGACAAGTGGCCATTGTTCACATGCGAGTCTTGGCATTGAGTGTAAGCTGGCCACTTGAGTGTAGAGAGTATTACAGCCCAGCGTGACGCTCTTCTGGCTGCTACACATATGTAGACCAGCAAGGGGGTTGGAAGTAGAATGCCCTGAGCCAGACCACAGCCAATCCACTGAGCAGCCCCAACCCATGGCACTCGTGGACTCCCTCTTGGCTCTCTCCCAACTCATCAGCGGTCCCTGCCCATCAATATTATCCAATATTATCACCAGCCACCTCTGATGACCAGTACCAATTTAGCCTCCCTGAGAAGCCCTGACTGACACCAGCATCCTTAGCATAGGCTACGATTTGAACCAGCAGTTTATACATCGCTCTAGGTACTACACCGTCAGGAATACCCATTAAATATTTGTCTTGGCAGTGAGACCCTTCACTCATTTTCCTTCAGGAAGATTTCACTCTGGTGCTCTTATTCCAGATAAGATTTTTTAATATGAAAATACAAAATTACTACGATTCACATGGCAGGATTCCTTAATAATGACTCCGAGTTGCAAATGGAAATTCCAGAACACCTTTGGATGGACGTCTGGAGGTAGACTATATTGGTTCTACATTTCCGCAGGTCATATTGAGGTAATTGTAGTTCCTGGAAGAAATCCTCAATAGCAACTTTTTAGCAATAGCAATTTGGAGTCTTTATAACCGAGAATCCTGCTGAGAAACACAAATTAGACCCCAAAGCTTTGAAATGAGCAAATGTTAAAATCAATTCAGTTTTGTTGAAGTTCAGTGGCACCATTGAGTGAATCACCATATTGGTAAGTACCTGAAGGGTGGTTGTCGGCTGTGGAATAAATAGGGATCACTGCTGGTGAAAGGCAGAATGCATACAAGCCACACTGCGCATTGCAGAAAGCAAGCACAAGCTAGTCAAGGGAAGAGAAAAGGAGCAAGCAAATTAAATTAATTAAAAATGAATACTTACTGCTCGTGATATATTTTCCTAATTTAAAAAAATAAACAAACTGTAATTAAAAAAAGGTTAAAAGTGTTTTTCTTAAAAACTAACTCAGTACAAAATCAGAACTCCTGAAACGCTATGTGACAGTAATAACTATTAAGATGCAATGTTTTGGACGTGATAAGCACTTCAAGGTTATGCAAAACACAAGTCCACACAGGTCTGTCGTCTCACCAACATTTTGCCTAACCATAGCCCTACATCTCAACTACAGTGACCTTTTTTGCTGCTGTTAGATTACTTTTATATTAGGGTGCAGTGCCATGTGATTTCAAGAACAACAACTTGAATTTATACAGCTCCCTTCACATGCTGTACAGTGGTGAGGTTGGACACTGAGAAAGGGGAGGAGTGCTTCATTTGCCAGTATTAATCAAACGTTATTAATTTATGCTATTATTTAATGAATTAAAACAAGGAACTCTTGAAAAAAATCTATTTTACTCCAATATTCCTATTTTGAANTTTTTTTTGATCAGCTGGATGTCTGACACATGCAGAAACCCATCACCATGTTTAAGATTATCCAAACCAAACTGAGATTTCCATGCATCCCACTACACATGGAAATCACAGAGGTAGATTTTGGAATGGAATGCACACTCTCTTCCTGGAGGGATGCATCCTGCTTACCTAATTCTGGAAAGTATGAGGTGCGGATTGGCAAGATCCAAGGCTTGGGGACCCCAGAGTGTGTCTTGGGGTAACTGTTGGAATATAACCAGCTAAAACTGCATAGCTTGCCATTGATATCGCTGTCTGGCAAGCTTTTCCAGCTGCTTGTCCAGCTAGTACCACCCTACCCTTTAAGGCTTTAGCTTGCACAGTTAACAGGAGCTGAGTGGGTTTCCGCATGTGTCAGTGACTAGTCTGCTCATCCAGGTCTTGCCGATGAGCCAGGCTGGCTGTGCGGTCATCAGCAGTGCCTCGAATACTGTGGACCCACCTGGCTCAGGAACTGGACTACCGAGACCACCAGAGAGGGCTGACTTGATTTTGACATTCCATTGCCCGGCATGTCACCTTGGAGCCAGTTCAGCTCCAAGGAGACCTTGCTTACCTCCCCACTAAGGAGGATATTGAATTTCTTGCACGTCTTATCTTTGTACAACAACAACAACAAGATTCCATTTATAAAGCGCCTTTCACGTCAGGAGGACGTCCCAAGGCGCTGCACAGTTGGGTCATGACCCGAGCAGGGGGGAAATGGTCAGGGTGAGGGAAGGGAGGGAGCAAGGAGGGGGGAAATGGTCAGGGTGAGGGGAGGGAAGGGAGGGAGCGAGGAGGGGGAAGAGAGTCGAGAGGGGAGCTGAAGGCACGGTCAAAGAGAAAGGTTTTGAGACCGGCCTTGAAGGAGGAAAGGGAGGAAGCGGCGAAGGCACTGGGGGATGGAGTTCCAGAGCCTGGGGGCTGAGAGGCTGAAGGCCCGACCACCGATGGTAGGGCGGTTGGGGCGGGGGACGTGGAGCAGACCAGAGCCAGAGGAACGGAGGGTACGGGCAGGTAGGTAGGGGGATAGTAGGTTGGAGAGGTAGGAGGGAGCAAGGCCGTGAATGGCCTTGTAGGTGAGGATGAGGATCTTGAAATCAATCCTCTGGGGGATGGGGAGCCAGTGGAGGCGAGCGAGGGTGGGAGTGATGTGGTCCCGAAGCCTGGTGCGGGACAGTACACGAGCTGCAGAGTTCTGAATGACCTGCAGCTTGTGGAGGGAGGTGGCGGGAAGGCCGGCGAGGAGAGAGTTCCCATAGTCCAGCCTTGAGGTGACAAAGGCGTGGACCAGGGTTTCAGCAGCGTGAGGGGTGAGGTAGTGCCGTAGTCTGGCGATGTTCCGAAGGTGATGGAAGGCGGTGCCAGTTGTAGTGCGGATGTGAGGGAGAAAGGACAGCTCAGGGTCGAACAAAACGCCGAGGTTCCTGACTGGCTTTGAGAGGTGGAGAGTGCAGCCTTGGATGCTGATGGTGTCAGCGCCTGAGGTGCGGAGGCGCTGACGTGAGCCAATCAGGAGGGCCTCGGTTTTTCGCACGTTGAGCTGAAGAAAGTTGTCTCTCGTCCAGGACTCGATGTCGGACAGGCAGCTGTCAGGACATCGGTGGTCGTGGAGTTGAGAGTAGAGGAGGAAAGGTAGAGTTGGGTGTCATCCGCATACATGTGGAAGTTAACTCCATGTCTGCGGATGATGTCACCGAGGGGGAGCATATAGAGGGTGAAGAGGAGGGGACCGAGGACAGAGCCCTGAGGGACACCACATGAGACAGTACGGGGGGTGGAGGAGAAGCCATTCGTTGAGACAAAGTGAAGACGGTGGAAAGGTACGACCTAAACCATTCAAGGACAGTGCCTTGAAGGTTGAGGTGGGAGGACAAGCGGTGGAGTAGGATAGCGTGGTCGACCGTATCGAATGCTGCCGATAGGTCGAGGAGGACGAGGAGACAGAGGGAGCCCTGGTCACAGATGGTCAGGATATCATTGGTGACCTTGACCAGGGCAGTTTCTGTGCTATGGGCAGCACGGAAACCTGACTGAAGGGGTTCAAAAAGAGAATGGGTGGAAAGGAAAGAGCGCAGTTGGGAGGCGACAACTCTTTCCAAGACCTTGGAGAGAAAGGGGAGGTTGGAGATGGGCCGGTAGCTTGATAGCTGCGACGCATCAAGGGAGGGTTTTTTCAGGGTGGGCGTGATGATGGCAGTTTTTAATGGAATGGGGACAGAGCCAGAGGAGAGGGACAGGTTGATGATGTCAGTGATATGTGGGGCAAGAAAGTGGAGCTGGGAGATAAGGAGTGGAGTGGGGATGGGGTCAAGGGAGCAGGTGGTTGGTTTTAGGGATAGGATGAGTTCAGTGACAGAGGGTGGGGAAACGGGTACGAAGGTGTGTAGGGGAGGATGGGTAGGAGTCGGAGTGTGGGAGGGAAGGGGTGGGTGGTGGGTGGAAGTTGGAGGGGAAGTGACCGCGGAGCGGATTCCCTTGATCTTGGATTCAAGGAAATCCAGCATCTCCTCGCAGTGAAGGTTGGAGGAGATGACCTGCGCGGGGTGGCGGGGGGGACGGAGGAGTCGGGTTGTGGTGGAAAACAGTAGCCTGGGGTTGTTCTTCGCCTCCAGGATTATCCTGGAGTAGAAGGACGACTTGGCCGAGGCTAGAGTGGAGCGGTAAATTTTGAGGAGGTCCAGCCAGATTTGTTGGTGGACCGTTAGGCCAGATTTGACACAGGTGCGTTCAGCAACCCGCACCTGGCTTTTCAGTGAGATTTGTAGATTGAACTGTGAGTGTGCGAGACGTGATAGCAAATCTGAGGCCTATTTACTAGAGATAAGCAGGAGTGAACCTCAAAGGATTACAAATTCTCTAGCCAAACTACAAGTAATTCATTCTTAGGAATGGTGTTCCATTTTTGTATACTAATAGAGGTGGGCAAAAATAATAAAAAATAATAATAAATTCTTGCATTTGATATAGAGCTTTATTATGTCTTCCAGATGTCTCAAAGCACTTCACAGAATATACTGTAAAGTGAATTGACTGTATATTTTGTGACCGAAATGTGAAAGGCGCTATATAAATGTAAATTGCATTGTATTATAATATCTAATGTAGACTCAAAGCATAATCTATATCAAGCTACCATGTATAACCAGCCTCCCTAATACAGATTCACTCCAGGTCCAAGTCCTTAATTAATAATAACAAAATAATAATCCTTGCATTTGATATTGTGCCTTTCACATCAAGGTGTTTCAAAGAACTTCATGGGATTTACTGTAAATCTGTTTTTGTAGGCAAATGTGAATGAGTACTGATTGTAAGAGAGCTTCCAATGAGCAAACACCTTAAATATCCACAGTATTTTATTCAGACAAATGAAAAACACTTTACCAAATGTAATAATAATTATTATAAACTATCTGGAGCTCTCAGCTGCTATTTAGAGATATGAAGTTCACAGTAGTAATACTGTTACCAAAGCAACCGAGAGCACTCCCCCACAACTTCGGGCTGGACTTAAGTCCTGTTTACACCTAGAAAAGAGTCTCCTTTGTACTCCTCTGAGACACTACCCTGCATGAGGGCACTATATAAATGCAAGTTGTTGTTGTTGTAAGTGCCCCACAATAAAAATAGACCAGATGGTCTTAGCCCAGCTTTCAGTGAGCATATCCCACATATTTTGTTTGGAAATGTAACAAGAAGGTCAAACAAAATGAGCAGATGATAACTAAATAAAGAGAGGACATCTCACTTGGCATCTCTCCTTCTAATGTTTGAGAACAGGAGGCTATCAATGAAGAACTATCAGAGCTGAGGGGTTGAGGAGTGATATTACCCAGTTGGTCAAAATAATGAAGGGAATTGAGCTAGATGAGGGAGGGGGTGGCTGCTCTTCCTTCTGGAAATGGGATTCAAAGCAAGAGGGCCTGGTCTTAGAATTAGGGATAAACCATTTAATGGTGAGATCAGAAAACATTTCTTTCCACAGAGGGTTGTAAAAATGTGGAATGCACTGCCCCATAAAGCCATCTGTTTAAAAAGTGTTTAAAAGGGAGAAAGCTAGATTGTAGGGATTGGGGCTATTAAGGATCTAATTACATGGTATAAGAGATTCAATGGACTGAATGGCCTCCTCCTGTTCCTACATGTATGGCTGGCAGAGGTCTGCATCCATACAGTACAGTTACTATACTGTATATGCCTGGAACTCATGCAGGTATTCAGATTCTTTTTAAGTTGTGAGGTAGATTCACCTCCAGTGGATTGTGATGCTGCATAATGTTAGTATGCAACCTATCCTGCGAGCTTTCAAACAAAACACCCACTACTTACTTCAACTCGTTGACTTGGTTCCTTAAATGCTGTTGAAGATCTTCTTCTTTTTCGTACATTTCAAGCAAAGTGTTGGCATCATTGTGGTGATAACAGTAGATTTTATAGACCTCTTCTAATGGAGTCTTAATTTGTAAGAACACCTCACCTGTTTTAAAAACAGATGTCTTGGAAGTCAGCATGATAGGTTTTGGCTAGATTAAGTTTGACAATCACTTATTACAGAATAACCTGGTTATAAGGCATCCCTTTATAAGATGGCTTTATAAGCAGGCTCTCTGTGGACCCACAGTTGTTTTTGGTGTATGAACCAGCCAGCTTCCCACATACTGAAAATGGCTGACTTCTGGGTTGTATTTCCTGTGCATGTGGACATGTGCAGGAAGTGGTTGCACATTGGCATGCTAACCTCTGCAGACCTTGGATTAACGTTTCATCCAAAGGCATCTCCAATAATTCAGCACCTCACACAACACTTCATTGGAGTCTGAGTTTAGATTATGAGATGAATGTTATCAACACGGGACTTGAACCCACAACCGTCCGACTCAGGCGAACAACTTAGCCAGGTGGATACCAATAGAACAGAAGATCGGCAAACATTTCTTTCCACAGAGGGTTGTGAGAATGTGGAATGCAGAAATCAACCATTTTTGGTATGTGAGAAGCAACTGGGGTCCACAGGGCACCTGCATTATACACAGACCTACTAAATTAAAAATTGTTCTGTACTAAAACTGGCTCATCTGGTAAGAGTCCTCATTTGTGACTTGAATTCTTTAGAAATCCAATTTAAAATCACTGCAGTTTAGCCCCAAATATCAGAGGTGGGTAAGATCTAAAGATTCATTACTGTATTAACTATCTTAACTATCTTTCACAAGCAGCCCAATTCTAGAAATAGGAGATTGTGGATGTGAAGAGTGTTCAGCTGTTGTACGATACCAACTCTGTCAGAGTCAGAAACATTGTGTTTTGCTAACACATTACTTGGTCCCTCTCTCAATTGTCATTGTCTGATGCCTGCATATACATGTTATTTAACAACTGTTCGAAGATCGAAGATCGAAAGCTAAAGATCCAGTGTTTATGTACAGGGTTGGTTTATTAGATTTGTGTTGACGAGAGAGGTCTGAATAATAAACAGGCCAGTTCATCACAGGAGTTGATGACTCACCTATTACTTGCATTTCTGGTTCATCGTCGGCTGTAGCTTCTTCCAGCAATGACAGCAGCGTAGCAGATATCTGACAGACTGACTCAATGTTACTGAACAGTCCATCCACATCTAGGCTTTCCACCTGTAGACACAGATGTACATTAGTTTAAAAAACACATTAAGAAAGACAATCCAGTTTTCTTCTAACTAAAGAAAAAGGTCTATTGGTTTTAAGAGTTTAGATGGATCCTAGTTGTGGACAAAGCGTCCAACTTTGGCTTTGGTTACATTGCATTTCAAGCCCACTACAGGATTTAGAGCCTCTGGTCAGCCCAGGCTGATATTCCAATGAAGTGTTGAGGGAGGCTATATTGTCCTTCGGATGAAATGGTAAACTGATGTCCCATCTGTCTGTTCAGGTGGACATTAAAGATTCCAATGGCACGATCTGACCCCATAACCACCCAGGATTACAGATTATATGACTGCCATAAACTAGTTCATCTGCAGCGACTGTGCTGCTGAGGAAGTGCTTTCCTCCCATTCCCCAATAATTATTATATTCCTCTTTAACAATGCAAATTCACTTTGGGTTCTGTTGAAAAATAATAATAATCCATGCATTTGATATAGCGCCTTATCATGACATTGAGACGTCTCAAACCGGTTCACAGGATATACCATAATATACTACAATATATATTCTGTATATTTGTAGGCAAACACTGCAGCACAATTGCTCACAGCAATGTCCCATAAACAGCCACGAAACAAGTGATCAATTTTATTGGGGATTGTTGTCAGGACAGCAGGAGAAACTCCCTTCCCTTTTCCAATAGGATCTTTAACGTCCACTTGAACAGGCAGACAATAATAATAATAATAATAATAATCCTTGCATTTGATATAGCGCTTTTCACGTCGGGAGGACGTCCCAAAGCGCTTCACAGAACACACTGTAAAGTGAATTGACTGTATATTTGTGGGCGAACGCGGCAGCCAATTGCGCACAGCAATGTCCCACAAACAGTCGTGGATTGAAAATTACCAATTTATTATTGTTTTTGGTTTTGGAGGGATTATTATTAGGCGTGTGGAGTAAGGAAACTTGCCCAAGGTTTCGCCTTGCCTGGAATTGAACTCAGGTCTCTAGCTTGCAAAGCGAGTGCTCAACCACTGAGCTACAAGACCTTGATATAACATCTCATCCAAAACCGCACCTCTGACAATGCACGCCCCCAGCACCTCATTGCAGTTTAGACGATGTGAGTTCAAGTCTCGATATAGGGCTTGAACCCAAAACCTTCTGACTCAGAGGTGAGAGAACTACCAATTGAGCCACTCTTGACAGGTGTATTAAATAGCAAAATTGTAACCAAAAATAATGCACTGTTAAATCTGTCTGACAAACATCAAAATGATCCTTGATCTTGAAAGGTTGAAAAATAATTATGTTGAACATTACCTGTTTCTTTCTCAAGGGCTGTACAACTTCGGAGATGCACAGCTCTAAATCACTCAAATAATCTCTTTCAGTCTGCACAAGCTCTTTGATGATCTTTGACCTCCTGGCCATCTTCCTTTGTCTCTGCTCTTCAAGATCCAGGGCTGAGGTCACAGTCTCGGGAATTGCATGTGGCGTCATCTTTTCTGGAGGGGGCAAGGGGAGAAAAGTAAACTCTGCAGCTCGTGTACTCTCACGCTCCGTGACTCCATCACTCCCACCCTCGCCCGACTCCACTGGCTCCCCATCCCCCAGAGGATTGAATTCAAGATCCTCGCCCTCACCTTTAAGGCTATCCATGGCCTTGCCCCGTCCCACCGCTCTGACCTGCTGACTCCCTACCAACCTGCCTGCTCCCTCCGTTCAGCGGGCTCTGGTCTGCTCCATGTCTCCCGTCCAACCCATCTTACCATCGGTGGCCAGGCTTTCAGCCTCTCTGCCCCACACTCTGGAAGTCCATTCCACGGTCCCTTTGCCTCGCTTACTCCCTTGCCTCCTTCAAGGCTGGTCTCAAGACCCTTCTCTTCGACTGTGCCTTTGGTCGCCCTCCCACCTCTCTGCCTTCCCTCACCCCTACACCATCCCTCCCCCCTACTCGGACCCTGACACCTGACTGTTCAGCGCTTTGGGACATCCTCCCGACGTGAAAGGCGCTCTATAAATGTAATTTTATGTTGTTGTTGTGTGAGCTCTGGCCACAATTGGGGAGGATAAGTTTGCAGGGCTATGGGGAGAGCGGGACTGAATTGAATAGCTCTTTTCAAAGAGCCGGCACAGACATGATGGGCCGAATGGCCTCCTTCTGTGCTGTATAATTCTATGATGATATGAATGATCAAACACCCTCTTCTTCACATGGTAACCACTGGCTTTGAACAGGACCATAGACTGTCCTTTGAGAATACCTCAATTGGGATGGCTTTCATTACAATAGGTCACTAATATCCGTGATGGCCCTAGTCAGGTCAGTGATTAACGTATCCTTGTCAGACAGCATTAGTTGTAAAAGCTGCTTATTGTTCTCAATTGCATGCAGTTTAAAACCTGAGACATTTTCATTTTAATTTGTGTCAGGGTGTGACCTGCCAAGCTGGAAACCATTTACAATTATCTGTCTTGCTTTGTAATGCGAGAAACATATAGAGGGCCAACCATCAGTGTCACCGGTATTACCATCCCCTCAACTGGTTACAAACTGGTTCTGAAGGCTCCCAGTACAGACAACTGTGATTCTACAAAGTGCAACAGGATTCACAGATCTTCGTTGTCTTCTTTGTCTTCCTTGTCCTGCCTCTCCCTCTCAATTTGTCCTTAAAAATCTCTCCCTCCCAACATGCCCCAGTTCTGACGAAGGGTCATGGACCTGAAACGTTGACTCACTTTCCTTTCTCCATAGATTCTGCCTGACCTGCTGAGTTTTCCCAGCTCTCTCTGTTTTTGTTCACAGATCTTCAGTTCGATCCATGGGGGATGGGAAGCGAGGATGGGGGTTGTGATAGGCTTGCAGAGCCTGGCCCAGGCTGCAAAGTTCTGTATAGTCTGCAGAAAGTCATAATAAAATCTCTCTCTCTGAGATAGCCACAGCATTAAGACTGTAATTCTGATAATGTTGCAGTTACTGTAGTAAGGCCAAACAATGACAACATAATATTCCTTTGATATCACCTTATATTATTGAGGCATCTCAAAGTGCTTCATAGGATGTTACTGTGAAGTGTAGGATCCACAGACCCTCCTCCTCGCCCCCACCCGTGCCTCCTTTAAGACCCTCCTCTTCGACTGTGCCTTCGGTCACTCTTCCCACACTCCACCCCTCCTGATCCCAACCACCAGCTCGGTTGTGGATCCCTGACTGTCCAGCACCTTGGGGACATCCTCCTCACATGAAAGGCTCTGTACAAATGTAATTTGTTGTTGTTGTATTGGTCGGTGAATTTTTGCTCACTAAGTATACAGCCAATTCACTTTATAGTACATTCTGTGAAGCGCTTTGAGATGTCTCCAAGACGTGATAAGTGGAGTCTTGTAGCTCAGTGGTTAGAGCACTAGCCTCACAAGCAAGATACCTGGGTTCGATTCCCGGCAGGACGAAACATTGGGCAAGTTTCCTTACTCACCACACCTCTGTTTACCTAACAGTAAGTAGGAACCCGGTGGTTAGTCGATTAGTGGATCGCTTTTCCGGAGGTAATAATTCCTTAAAAAATAAATTGGTCACTCAATCCACGACTATTTGTGGGACACTGCTGTGTGCAACTGGCTGCCGTGTTTCGCCCACAAAATATACAATCAATTCACTTTACAGTATATTCGGTAAAGTGCTTTGAGCCATCTCGAAGACGTGATAAGGCACTATATCAAATGCAAGGATTATTATATTATATAAAATCCAAGGATTTTTATTATTATTAGCATGATTTGTAGATATTGAGGCTGAAATTCCACTTGGGGCTAGATTTTTAGGGGTATTGTAGAACATGCAAATTTTGGAAAATCCTTCAAATTAATCTTAATTTTGAAGCCAATTTTGTTATTCAATTTTCTTCAAAATTAAGATTGAGTAAGAACTCATTAAAGTTCTTGAAGGGGTTCATGGGATATGGGAATAAGGTAGGGAAGGGGTATTGAATAGACCAAACTTGCTCTGAGAGCCATTGCAGACTTGATGGGCTGAATGAGCTCCTTCTGCACTGTAAATTTCTATGATTCTACGAACCTTTCACAGCATATACACACTGACATTGTTAGAAAAAGGGAGTCAGTTGTTCTCCCCCACTGTTCTCCAAACTTGGTAGAATTTATTCTATCACCAAAATAATTGAAGGAGGAAAGTCACTCAGTTGCTTGAGAGAGATTACACTCAGTGGGGGCGCAATGACAAGGCACTTTACTCTGTGACAATGATATACAGCAGGGATTCCATGTAACCATGACAGCACATGCAAGAAGGGTAGTGGGGGGATTTAATTCAACTACAGACTAATCCGATAGGATGAAAGCCTCGCATCTCTCCTGCCTGTTTTGTGGAAGATTTAATGTTGGAACTCGGTTTCTAGTGGGTGCGAAAGCAGTGCAGAACCACCCATAATTGATAAACTCATCATAGAGGCCACAAGAGAGAACAGGGAATACAGACGTGTGCAGTGGTGGGCTCTGTGCAGGCTGGTTGCTCAGTGCTTTAATTGGTGGAGAAATTCTCACTGGGACAACACTCAATAAAACACGCAGAGACTTTACAATAAGTCATTTTGGAGTGAAATTTGCATTTTGTGTGTGAATGAGCCAAAGGAGAACCTCACTCACCCCACCTCCTCCCTCCAACATTGTTCTTAATGATTAACTGGGTCTACAGTGTTGGACTTGCAGATTGAAGCCACTGACTGCAGGTTAACAAGACACCATCTTTTTGTGTTCGTGTTTTAGCAAAAACTTGTTATTTGTTTAACCGTGTGTCAGATTGGCTCAAGTGGTATCACTCTTGTCACTGAGTCAGAAGGTTGTGGGTTGTGGTACCCCCAACTTGGGTCCGAAACCCTGATTGTCCAGCACCTTGGGACGTTCCACCGATGTAAAAGGCACTATACAAATGTAATTTTTGTTGTTGCTTTTGTTGTTCAAGCCCCACATCATGATTTCGAATCATTTTGTCTAGGCTGACATTCTAATGCAGTGCTCGGGGTATACTGCATTTTTGGAGGAGTGTCTTCAGAGGAGACATTAACCCGAAGTCTCGTCTGTCTGTTCAGGTGGATGTTAAAGATCCCATGGCACTATTCAAAAAGAGGCATTTCTCCTGGTGTCCTGGCCAACAAATCCCCCAAATAAAATTGGTCACTCACTTCATGGCTGTTTATGGGACATTGCTGAGTGCAAATTGGCTAACACGTTCGCCATGCTTTTGGACATGTGTGAATACATTCGGTATTCTGAAGGAACTGGGTGTAGCTAAAATAGGTCCAGGGTCTACAACAGGAGAACTGTGTAGGCAAGAGATTTAACAGGACCAAACCACACTGCTGTTAAGTGCTCTGAGCGATGCTTGTGTGCAGGGTGCTAAATAAATGCAATTTGTGTTGTTTTTATGAATCAGGCAGTGTCAATGAGTGGAGCTGAGGGGTACAAATCTACCAGGTCTGATCCCATAGTCATAGGCTTCGAGCATGTGGGGACATCTGCAATACCATCCTAATTGGAGTCCTGTAGCTTCTGTAGCTGAGTGGTTAGAGCTTTCGCCTCACAACAAGACCTGGGTTTGATTCCCAGCAGGGTGAAATCTTGGGCAAGTTTCCTTACTCCACACGCCTGATAATAATCCCTCAAGAAAAAGAACAATAATAATTTGGTCACTTCAATCCACGACTGTTTGTGGGACACTGCTGTATGTAATGGCTGCTGCGTTTCGCCCATAAATATACAGTCAATTCACTTTACAGTATATTCTGTGAAGCGCTTTGAGAAGATGTGAAAAGCGCTATATCAAATGCAAGGATTATTATTAATTCCACATGCTACTGACGAAAGTAGGTGGAAGCAGAAGAGTTACTATACTAGTTGTAGTGGGCTGATTCGGGGCTTGTAATCAAGGATCCTGTAATGGCTAGATTTATTCAACTGCTATGGATTAGTGGATGGTTAGAATCCCCCCAACCCACCACCCCCTGCCAATTCATCAGGGTTCAGGATCCCTGTAACCTGTGCTCACTCCGATGCAGAGCGGAGTGTTGCACAGTAATTCTCCAACAAACTACTGCAAACGTCAGTGCAAGCAGCTTGTCTATAACACAGCAGAAAAACACCCAAGCACTGACACTTTAAATAGACTGAAATACGCCACTGGGGAAGAGCAGCAAATGGAAAAGCAGCTGCTGACAACTGATCCATTAACAAGCTGAATCCACCTTGTGCAAGTCACATCGACTCATGTATTACAAGGTGAAAAATAAGGAGTTCAAAATATTAGTGCTTACACCCACTTCTCCGTTGTATTAAACACCCTGAACAAGAGTACCTAATTTTAAAAGCAAACCCGAAACTGCCCCATGGTCTGCAGTAAATTGACAGTGGGTAGAGTCTGCGATTCTATGGTGTGTAGGGTGGTGATTTTATTTAGAGATGATAATAATATTAATCTTTGCATTTGATATAG